AATATTGAAATTTGTCTCAACAGCCAAAATTTTAAACTTTACTACTTACCCTACCCTACCCTGTTAAGCTAAATCTCACAAAAATCACAATAAAATCCCACAAACATTAGTAAAAATGCTATTTCTAATGTTATAAACAAAACATTATCAAATTATGAAAAAACTATATATGAGCTCAAATTGCATCCATGTACAACAACTTTTTGGCCGAGGTTTTTTATATGAAAATATGAAATTTCCATCTCTCTTGATATCAATTATAAGTGGCATAAAGCTGTCATTAAACTTCTTTCTAAACGTTTTTTTGATGGCCAATACTTGCGGTCATCTGATTTTTTTTCCAAATGTCTGGGTCATTTCGAAGTTTTAAGAGATTTGTTGTCGCAAAAACTTTATTTACAATTTTTTTTATTTTGCAATTCAAAAATGGCAAAAAAATACAAAATCTGAAATGATAAGAGATTTCGTTTCACTCAATCTCGCATTAAGTTGCTCAACTACCTCTGTGCCCTCAACCCCGAAAACTTGCTCTGGGAGAGGGCACAGGATTATTTGAACAACCTATTATAAATTATATAACCTTGAGATGCATTGTGTAATATTAGCTAAAGTTTTGAAAGTTGCTCGTTGTACGAGCTTTTCGTTATGTAAGGTTTTGTTATACAGAACCTTTGCTGTATTTCGTTGATCAGTGCAAGCATATAAGACCCCATTATTCCAGGGTCAGTCAAAAAATTAGCCAGTTACTAGAATCAGCCGCCACTGAAACTGGCTAGCTGATTTTATAGCAGATGTGATGGTGGCGGACATTCCGCTGCTGACGTTGTGTAAAGTCTTATATCAGAGCACACCTAACGCATTTGGAAGTTGGTTTTCGACTGGGTTCCGAAAGAAGTGTTTTTTATTCCGTTCGCTCTCTTTCTCTGTTTGTCTCTCTCTCTCTCTTTGTTCCAAGCGTTTTATCTTTTGGTTTCAGAGTACAAAACGCAAAAACTTTCTTTACAAAACAAAAAATGGCAAAAACTTTGTTTACAAAACAAAAAACGGCAAAAACTTTCTTTACAAAACAGAAAATATCAAAAACTATCTTTAAAACAAAAAGTTTCATGGATATTTTTTCAAAGTAAAAAAATATAGTAGCAGATTTATATAAAGCTACCTAAAAACAAAAAAACACAGAAACTTTGTTTACAAGGTATAAAAGTTCATTTTACAACAAACGCTAAAAAAGTCGTATTTTACTTCAAATTAATTTTTTTTTGATTCTAATAAGTCCAGACAGTCAATATGAACAGGAAATGCAATTAAAAGTGGCTTTACACTTTTCTTGTTTGCAAAAAGTGTGTAAACAAAGTTTTGTCAAGGAACATATGCACCCATTAAGCAAATACAAACAAAAATCTTTTGATTTTACAAAAATTTTGAATTTTTTTTAAAATTTTATATTCTTAAAAAAATTTAGAAAAATAAATAAATTTCTTTTTATAATACAAAGAATCGTATTTTACATAATTTAAAAAAAAATTAAACTTAAAAAACTGATAAAAAATTAAAAAAATCTTTAAAAGTTCACGTGTTAAAATTCGAAAAACGCCGAAGTGTGATAAAGCTTGAACAAGGCATTTGATTAATTATCTGGCCACAGGTGAAAAAGACAAAAAGAAGCGCCCGAAGGCACAAAAAAGTGGAGTTGAACTCATAAATCAGTCACAAATAGAACAATAAAGATCAAGGAGATTTCAGACTTTTTATATTATTTTTGATACTTTGCTTTACCAGTTTAAAATTAAAAGAAATATTTAAGTTTTTAACTACAATTTTTAATCCCAGCTCCACCTTGTCCTACCGTAGCTTTTTTTATCTTATCTTGTTTTACCTTATCTTGCTCTACCTTGCCATGTCATAGATTATTTTGTACAACCTTACTTTGCCCTTACCTAGTAATACCTTACCTTTTTCCAGCTTACCTTACTTTACATTATCTGGCTTCAACTAAACTTGTTCTACCATGTCTTCTCCGACCTTAACCTACCTTATCTTGCCCTATCTTATCCTAAATTATTTTGTTTTACCTTACCTTACCTTGCCTTACCTTACTTTTTCCTACCCTACCTAGTTCCACCTTATTTTACCCTATCTTACTCTAACTGACTTTGTGCTACATTAACTTTTTCTATCTTAATCTACTTTTCCTTACCGTGTTCACCAGCCTTTTCCTTTCTCTAACACCCTCTGTTCAACCCAAAACTACAGTATCCAAAACATAAAACAAAAAACCACTGTGACATGGCCAGCCACCTTATTATGCTCAGCCTACTATAACATTGTACATGACACTTTGGCAGCCAGACCATTAATTAGATCATAAAACAATATTGAGACGACATTATGAACGCATTTATTGTCGCAAACTTGTTCCTTTCCCTTTCGTTCAATGTTTATTTTTCAAAGTTTGGCGAGAGAAAGGGGGTTACATCAGGTTCGAGTACAAGGTGAAGTAGGCTACAGTTCCGGCAACTTTTCGTAGCAGTTTTTGAGACAACAAATTTGAAAGAAACAATATTATAGTATGTGATTGTTCAAATAATTCTGTACCTTCTTTCAAAGCAAATTTTTGTAATTTGAGGCACAGAATTTTGTGAACAACTTAATAGTAAATTGAAAAGTTAGGCTTAAAAAATAACTTAACCCGAAAGCTAAGAATGATATAACCCCAAAGACTATGTTATAGGTAACAAACGATTGATAAAGAAAACAAAAAGCTATAGCTATAGATATATTAATAGTAAACAAGAGTGCTTGACTCTCAGTGTTGCCAATAACAAAACCTAGGTTTAAATAAATAAGATTTTATAAATTTAACTCAACTTTTTTAAATCTGTGTTGTTACCTAAACTAACAATAAAAACTGTTTTTTAATTGAGCTTTAGTTTAGACCGTATAATCCAACGGCTGAACTTACATCTGCTTATTGAACATCAGTTTGAGCAGAATACATGACGTTACCTTACCTAGTTGATGACTTGAAAAACAGTACAAGTTATCATAGTTTATCATATATTATAATTAAGAAATTGTCTTTAGTTACGTAAATAATAACAATCATTTTTAATATTATATTTGTGGTAGTCAAAACTACGATCGTATTTTACAAAACTAATACCGTATATATATAGTGACCCATCTGTATAAGCAACTCTCTTTATAGTAAACAAGAAATTTGGCCCCACCAAGTCAATTTGCACTAAAAATCACTCTGTAAAGACAACCTCCCTTATAGTAAATACAAAATGTCGGTCCCTCCGCGTCGGTTATATAAACAGAATACTGTAATTCATTTTTCGAAATTGAAAGCTGTACCTTTTAATGATAGATATCATTGTTATATTCTTCTTGTCAAGTTTTCAGTTTACTATCCAACTTCTTGTTTTCGAAGCCTACGTCGTATAACATAAACGAAGCCGAGAAGATAATCTCAACCTGACACGAAACTTCATCTTGATTTATTCAAGGCCGAAACGAAGCCACTGGATTCATATTATCTCTATGGTTAAACTGATTAAATTCTGGGTAAAAAAGTCAAAGACATGGTATTTCTTTGTCATTCTGATAAGGATAAAACGTTATTTTACTGGGGGTTGTTGTTATAGGCAACTTTAAATTTTTCATAAGTCATGTCTTGTCGTCAATTTTCACTGTTTTTCAAGGTACCGCGACAAAACTTTTTTGAAGCTTTGATAAGCTTTTATTTCATAAAAGATGAATACATTAGGTTGTTCAAAGAATCCTACGCCCCCTTGTAAAACAAATTTTTAAGGTTAGGAAGCGCAAAATTATTTGACCAACCTAATAGAACAATTTATCACCTCTGTGACAGTACCAGCAGCTATATTGATATTGAAAACATTTGCTTAAAGCAACTTTGGCTCTAGTCTTCAAAATACTCAGTACACTAATGTTGCTTATTTTATATAGTGCCCACTTTACCACAATATTGAAGTTTATGTTATAGTAGATCTGTAGAGCTCAATGTACCAAAATAAAGGCCCACTGTACCACAAAAGTGTATGTTGTAGCAGCTCCGTATAACAACCTCTTGGAAGGCTGCTCCAACTTATCAAATCCCCTTATCTGTCGAATCGCGGCGGAAACGAGAAAAGCCTTCGGAGCAATCGGCTTCATTCACTTTTCGCTTCTCAAAAATCAACGGGAAAACGGGTGGGGACGGGTTTTTTGACGAAGCGAAGCCATTTTTTGTGTTCAGGCTTCGATTCCACACGCCATTTCGACCTTTTCGAAATCACAAAACAATATTATTTTTGCGATTCCCGCTTCAACTGTTACCTACTACAATATCGTATGGCTTCACACGTTTTGGAAGCGGAAAGACGGCTTTGAAAAGTGAAAAACTGGCTTTTGGGAGTTGATTTTTCAGTTATTGAAGCTGATTTTTTGGTTTTTGAGGTTGATTCTTCAATTTTTGAGGTGTTTATATTGAAAACAGACTATTTTGGCCTTTTTTACCTTGTCTAATATTGTCTTTGAATCCATTTTGATATCAATATGACCTGAAATAAAGGTATATTATCCTTATTTTTATTGAAATTTTACGTTATTTTGTTAATTTCTTCTGTTTTTTATTTGTTTTTCGCCCAAATTTAGGTATGAAACTATATAATCTTTAGTTATTTATGTTAACAGGGGTATTGCCGCTGCTTTGTAGCGTTTACTTTGTAAAATACGTTTTGATACCTTGAAATAAAACCTTAACTTTGGCTAATGAAGTTGTTTTTGAACCTTTGATTCGACTTGTTACCTAAAATTTTAAAATTTGATTTTCATTGTTACCTAAAATTCCTAAACGGCAATAAGTTATTTTTAACATCTTGTTTGATTGGTAACCTTTAATTGGTAAATTGAACGTGCCTATGGGTTAAAATAGTGATAACGATTGACTTTATTAAAGAACTTGATTTTAAAGTTTTTTAGGTATAACACTGATGGCAAACCTTCAAAAACGTCCGGTTATTCGAACATACGATGTTAAATGGTAAGTTACTATTTTTGATTATAAGTTAGTGTTTTTGCACGTCGAAGTATATACTGTTTATGCTGTTTTGTACTAAAAACTATGGTAATATACAACTGTTTTTAATGTACTACTAATTTTTGTTAACTTCAGCACCTAAACCTTATAGTAAGTGGTTTAGGTACTGAATGTTATGTTGAAATAAATTTCTTTATGTAAAATACGGCATGTCTTATTAATTTTCAGGAACCTTGTAGAAATGCCATTTTTTAGGCAGCCGATGGACAAAAAGCCAAAAATAGAAGACTTAAAAAGGTTTTGCGGCAAAGAACATCGAGCAAAGGAACGAAAAACAGGTAGGAACTTTGAAAAATTAAAGGTTTTGTAAAATACGAATTCTCATAATTGTACCTAAAATCGGTTTATAAATATTAAATAGTACTAAAAGCCCAAAAAAGGTACTGTTATGTTAAAACTTACCAATTCAAACTTTATTACAATTTAGTACCATAATACAACTAAATTAACTAAAAAATAAAAAAAAACCGTTAAAAAATCCGCAAATGTCCAAAAACCGAAGATCCGCAAGTGTCTAAAAACCGCAGATCCGCAAATGTCCAAAAACCGCATTTGTCCTAGCGCCGTAAAATCTTATATTTATCGACCACACATACCCAAAAAATAATGAAATAAACTCCCATTTTCAGCCACTAGATCAGTGTACCTAACCTACTTCGAAGCCAATATATGCAAATTATGTGGAAATGAAGTCAAGTCCCTAACAGCTTCAATGGCACAGCGTCATCTACGTCGGAACCACTCTGATATTCTTAACAACATTGATGTCCACAACTCGAATGAAGAAGAGAAAATCGACCAGTCAAATGTGAAGAATCTCCTTGATCTGATCAGTAGTTCTGGAATCAAAGTTGAAGATTCTGAAGCCACTTTTGATGAGTTTAATGGTCAAAATGTAGGTTTGGATCATGAGTTATTGAAGACGGATTCAGAAGGTTTTAATATGGATTCAGAATCATTAAATATGGGTTCAGAAGGCGTTAAAGTCTATTCAGAAGGCTTAAAAGTGGATTCAGAAGAATTGGCGGTAGATTCCAGTGAAGCAAACGATGTTACGGCGAATCCTGGAGACTTAGAAAGTTTTGCCGATGAAAAACCGCTTCAAAAGACATCAGAATCCAGAAAATCTTATTCCAAACGGCAAAGACTTGCGTCAACTCAAAGCGACCGGTCGAAAAGTGTGGATTTGATCGAGATGTTCACCAAGAAGTCGAAAGGACCATATATGACGAGAGATTGGTCAAAAGTTACGGAGCTACCTGAAGAACGGTCGAAGCTACGTAATTTGTCATATATCGTTGACAAACTCGACCGGTCGATATCATCGCTTAAACAAGAAAGTTCCAAAAATCGGTCAAAGAAGCCATCACGGTCAAAGAACTCAAAATCGACTGGAGATCAGTCCAAAATCATGAATTTATCGGAACTTGCACAGAAACTCGACCGGTCGATATTATCCCTGCCAGAAGGTAAACTAGAGAAGGTGTTAATGCCTGAAAAGTCATCGTTAAGGTCGAAAAGTGCAGAGTTACCGGAAAATGGTTTGAACTTAACTGATAGTTTGATAAGACTTCTGGAGAACGACGAAGATTCGAATTTGTCAGTGTGTGAGGACTGTCTGACGCCCTCCTCCTCCCACACGATCTCTCCTCCCGCGACCGCTTGGAACTCGCTTTTCTCTCGGAAAAATGGACAAAACTCGCTTGGAATTGGCTCAAACATGGACGAGAGACAATGGAAAATCAAGGTAAAATACGGTCTCTGTTTTTTATTTTGAAATATTTAGTTTTATTTTGAAAAAATGAAGTTTTGAGGGCAAAAAGGGCCAAAATTCAAGATAAATTTGTGTTTTGGCTAAAGTTTTTGAGGATTTAACACTTTTAGCGTTGTATTTATAACTTTAGGAGTTTAAAAGCTAAGTTAAAACCCTATATAAGCTTTTTTGTAATGTCATTTTAATTTTAAAGTTCGTTAGAGCTTCAAAAATGAGGATTTTAGTGAAAAAATGGCCTATACTTTTTACTAATATTAGGTAATATTAGGAAAATAGGGGATTTCATCAGAATTTTAATTGATTTTAACGCTTCTTATTCTAGTTTCACACTTTGAGGGTTTTTTAAAAGTAAATTCAATTATGAATTTAAATTTTCAATGTCACAATTACTCTAAAAATCGTGTTATTCTAGACCAACCGAGCCCTAGTAGTAGAATTAATGAACAAATTCTATGACTTGGGATGGGTTTTTGGTTCAGGTGGTGCCATGTGTCTTCGTGATGGTCCTGAAGATGACATTTTTGTTACGCCATCAGCAGTTCAGAAGGATCGGCTTTCGGAAGAAGATATGGGAGTTGTCAGTCCGTTGGGGGAAGTGCTACTGGCTCCTGAAGCACCAAATGTCATATCATCGTGCTTTAAGCTGTTCTCTACTATTTTTGCGACTCATGGTAAGGATTACTGTAGAAAGTATAGAAATGAGAGAAAATGAGGAGTTATGGTAGGGAAGGGTATTTTAGTAGATACTTATCAATACGGGATGTACTGTAGTAGGTACTGTAGATTTACTGTAGTAAAAAAGGGTTTTCTAATACTTTTTCATTTTTTGTGTTATAATTAGATCCTTCGAAAATAACGTATTTTACTTTTTTACAGAGCAAACCCACAGCCATAACGTACTGAACTCGGTGATCCACAGTCATTCAGTTGAATCCAATCTAATGGCTTCGTTTCCAACCGAATCTCCGTATAAGGCCGTCAGATTTGACACAGAAGAAATGCTCAAAGGCATTATCAACAGATCGACCGGTCGACCATACTCGAACACCGAACCGTGTTTAATACCAGTCATTGAAAATGCGCCAAGCGAAGGAGCTCCTGAGGTATGGGCAGATTATTTTTATTTTTTTGGGGGGGGGGTGTTTATTAGAGGTAAAATATTGGTCTGGGTAGGTTACCTATAATAGTGCGTATAGTATAATACTTGGTAAATCACTTTTGGTATTAACTGGCTGGTACCCCCTAGCCCGAGTATTGAATTTAAAAATTTTTAAATTCAAAAATGTTTCAGTTCTCCGATCGAATCCGTGAAGCCATGACCTTGTACCCAGAGTGCAGTGCCGTTTTGGTTCGAAATCATGGCGCATTTTACTTTGGCCGTGATTGGAAAGAGACCAAAATCATGGCAGAGATATTCGAATACCTTTTCAAATTAAATTTGGAGAAAATCAAGTTTGCACCGAATTTTAAAAATGAGATTTTTGTTTTTTAGGTCTAAAATACTTAAATTTAGGTATCTTTTTAGCATATTTTTATCATTGTTAGAGTTTAAATAGTCTTTTTAATTAGTTCTTTATAACAGGTTGTTCAAATAATTCTGTGCTTCCTTTCAAAGCAAATTTTTGGGACAAGGGGACAAAATTATTTGAACAACCTTATAAATTTCCTAGTTGATGCCAAACAATGGCGTTTCTTATTAGTTTTATTAAATTTGTTTTATTAGTGTTAGCAAAAATTTTATTCTTTCTTGTGTCAACCTTATTAGGTATTTTCTTAACTTTTCTTTTAAATTAATTAAATAGTTTGACTGTTATCTTTTCTTTTTTAAAATTTTTGTTTAATTTTAAAAATTTTACATATCTTCCTGTCTTCCACCCTTGTGCCATATACTAAAATGGGTAATATTAGGTTGTTCATGTAATTCTGTGCCCCCTAACCACGAAAACTTGCTTTGAGAAGGGGCAAAGAATTATTTGAACAACCTAATAACTTGTTAAATGTGATATTAACATTAAAATAAACTTGTTATTCAAATGGTTTATTAACTCTTTATATATTATTTAGTACGACTCGTAGAATGATAGTAATGATAAAGTGAAAAAAAAACGTTAAAAATTTGTGAAAAAGATAACAAAAAAGTTGAAAAAAATGAAAAGTAATTACCTGAGGCGTTAAAAATAGAAGAAACTTTCGTTACAATTGAGGAAACTCAAGAATCTTGTTCAGAACAATAGCTAAATATTATCTACAACAATTATCACAATCATAACATAATACCCTCGGTTAAAGACAAACTAATATACGTATTATAGCTACTATCTACACATCATAGCTACACTATCTTATTGTTGAAGCTATTAGGTTGCTCAATTAATCCTGCGCCCCCTAACCCCGAAAATTTGTTTTGAGAGAGCACAGAATTTTTTGAACAACCTAATATTTTAATTATTATAGCTATAACTTGCTACACTATCTAATTATTGTATCTACACTATCTACAACATGTTTTTGATTCGTCGAATACTCTTCCGCAATAAGTTTCTTTCAAGTCCTGGTTTCGGTCGATTTTCCTTTTGATTCTCATTTTCTTCGACAATTTTGGGTATTTCTGGATTGACCTTCTTCTTTCTCCTGATACTAGCTCTGATACTTTCTCTCTGAAGTTGTCGTACCTCTTTCTTCGGTTTACTGAAGAACTTTTGTTTAATGGGTAGGAAGGTGCGTTCGAAGAAGTTGGACTGAACTGAAGCTGATGAGGTCGGTTTTCGCTTTTCCATTATCTAAAAGTCTATGGTTTAGTCTATTGTAACGTTTCTGCGAACTACTGTAATGTTTCTAGGCTTTTTCACGTCGTTGTTCACGTCAAATTCTCAAACATAACAAAGCTTTTGTCAATAACATCAACCTTTTATTGGATCTTTGACCAATAAGCTTTGGTTATGCCTAGAATATTACTTTTTAGCTCGCATCTGGGCTTAAAATTATGTAAAATACGAAATCCCGATCTTTCAATAAAAAATTATACCTTTTCTAAATCCGTATTCCTTCTAGGTTGTAGCGTTGGTTGGCGACAAATCGAACAGGAATTACAGGATCTGAGCCACTTGTCGATACAATTCTTGCAAAACGAATGTCCACAATCCAATCTGACTGGCTGAAATTCATTTATAGAACATCAACTTTTACAAGTAGTCTTATATGTCTACTATATGCTCAAAATCTTAAAACTAAAGGTCTAACCGATCAAAAGAAGTTATAAAATGGGAAAAACTCGCCCAGAGTTGGCTCAAACATAACTTAACCTCGTAGCCATAATTCAATGACTCAGTTATAAAAAAGTAAATCACCAAGCTTAACATTAACAAACAGATTACGACAACAACAAAAAAACCATAAATTTTACCAGCACATGAACTTTAAAACCGATTTTTTAAATTTAAAAATCCCTCAAGCAAGTTCTTACCATTTTGAAGAAATATCCACATATTGGGCACTTTAACTGATCGTCATCGATTGCAAAAACGTCGACGACCATACTCCATGTTGCTGAGGAAGTTGAGTAGCGGTCTGGGTCCATTTATTAGGCTAAAGCAATATGTTTTTACGTTTTAATCTCTTTAAAAGTAACAGATTTTATATTATCGACTAAATTATCTATCATGATTAAAACATTAATCAAAAAATAAACGAACTCATCAAAAAGCAATCATGACATAACTTTGAAACCATACAATAATTTTATAATACATAACTTTACAACCCAAATTAACAAATACTTGTAAAAATCCGTGGAAACTATACAAAAAAGCCATTTCTGACCCCTTCCCATGCCGATTCAGCCATTCGACTTTTACGCATAATAATAACGCACAGTCCTTTTTTGTCCGTAATGATGGCGCTAAAACAAACGTCCTCAACACATGCCATTTACATGTATTTACGCGTAAATAAGGAAGGCCACTTATTATAGGGTATGCCGACAAATGGGTTATCAATTAAAAGAATATTGTATTACATAAGGTTTTCTGGATTGATAAGAAGAAAAGTTACTTCAACTTATCCTATTGATGATAAGGTCAGTTGACACCCTAATATGTATAAAAGAATAACTTAACAAAATGGCATTTTACAGTCAATTCCATTACAAAAAAAACTCTTTAATACTCTTGATATAGCAAAAAAAACTTTATATGCACCATACCAAAACTTCTAATGATCCTTAACAAACCGAGAGGTAAAATCGACCAAAACAAGACAGTAAGGCATACAAATACGAACTTCGCTATAAAATACAATGCCAGTACCTCAAAACTGATAACGAACTCTTCAAGAACACCCTTCATATGCTTATAACAAAGAGTTTATTAAACCAATAACAACAATATATATATGTACACAACAAAAAATGACCATTTGTGTAACGTGCAACAAGAAAGACATATTAGAAAATTAAAACAAAAAACGTACTTTAACAACAAAAAAATTGAAATTAAGTACAAAAGGTCAATAGAAAATAATATAATATATTAGATGATAACATTGATTATAACAAAAAACAGCAAGAGATTACAAGTATAACTTATTTAGGTAACAAATATTTTTAAAAGGTTGAGAAACTTAAAAATATTAAACAATTAAGTCAGAGAATTTTTAAAAAGTAACTGAAGTAAATAAAACCAGAAAAATAAGTTTTAAGTAACAAATAAAATCAAAGTCTCTGTAAAAGTCCAGCACCATTTGTCTCCAAAATTGACTTAAAACCACGGATCTCTTCTTGATTCAAGACCCTCTGCCAACAAAATGAGAAGTGGCACACTTTGTAGAAGCTGTAGAATCCGTAGAAGATGATGATTCCTTCTTTGCATCGCGCTTTGATCGATCCAGAAGACACAACACATCCTCCCAGACTGAACTGTTGTTTTTGGTATCTCGTTTCTTAGATTCATTCACAATTTCAAGACCTTCGGCCAAACTACGTCGTTCCAACGCTTCTTTTTGCTTCAACGACAACGCTGGGCTCGCTTTAATCTTCACCTTCTGATCCTGAGACTTTTGCGGCGAGATTCTTTGATCATACCTCTTTTGTGGTGAATCCTTTTGACCATGCATTCTTTGTGACGACATTCCTTGACTACACGTCGGGTGTGACGCCATTCTTTGACTACACGTCGGTTGTGGGGACATTCTCGACCATACAGGTTTGAGCTTGGCATTATTGTTATTGTGCTCAACTTCAATAGCTTCAAAAGAGAAAACAGAGTCTTGTGAAGTAGTCTCTCCAAAACTGAGATGCTGAAAATACACTGTAAGTTTTAAAATTTCAAAAGTAAGGTTTATATTCGAAAAACACATGAATTTTACAAAAACGGTACCTAAAACCACAAAAATATTGCCTATAACAGTAAAAACTCGCTTTTGTTGCTAGCTTTAAGCATTTTAAGCAAAAAAACCATTATAAAATCAATAGTCCTATTTAATACTCATATACACAATCCTTTTATTCCTAAAAACAAAACCAAATGTGAAACGAAATTACCTGCTTCAAAACCGTTGGTGTTTGTTCGCCGAGGTAAAAACTGTGGTTAATAATATCGTTCAGCTCATCAAGACCACTATCATCAAAAGATTTGGAACGTTCTTCGAACTCAACATCTTGCCGATTTCTTGTGATCCTCTCCGAGACCGTTCTGTCGCGTACATTCTGGATATTCAGCGGCAGTGCGCGATGCAGTCTGTAGCCAGGCAGTTCTTGGTTATTCATCTAAAATAAGTTGATATTAAATTTATAAAACTAGAGAGGAATAATAGTCGATCGCTTTACCGTTCCTAAATAAACAAAAGAAATCAGTTACAACCTTAAAAACATCAAAACACGCCGAAAACCATTATTAAATTATCTTATAAACCTTCTATAGCCAATAAACGTATGATAAATTGTAAATCAGTAAAATTAAAAAGAAAAATTCAAGGTTAACAGCTTCCGAAGGTTAGTTCCACAATGTTATACAAATTTTTCAGTTGATCTCTCGGAAATTGGCCGAATCTCAAAGATAAACAAATTTCGTTGCGGGACCAAAATTTTCAAAGCTAACTTTTCCCGCAAGTGCCCTGAATTACAGTAAAGTAACATATTTCGAAATTTTACAGAGTAACCTTATTACAAATACTTTTAACATTTCGAACTAAAAAGGTTTTAATTCTTGTTTATTAAAAATATTCACTGTCTATCTAAAGATCGTAAAACCAGCCTTCAGACGAGGTTTTGTACCAAAAATTGCCGATCTTCAATATAAAACACAACTTTTGTTGTAAGATCTTTATTAATATTAAGTTTCAGACTTTCAGGACTATTGTTATACAATAAAAACAAGAAAATGAAAATCTGAAGGATAAGATATTGTATGGTAACAAGAGATAGAATGGATATGGTTTATGTAAAGCTGTAGGGTAAAACAAGTGGTTAGTGAGGTTTAGAGAAACAATATATGATCTTTTTAAAAATAGATTATCATTAACAACTTTTGAGATATATTAGAGGATCATTAACGATTTTAGAGATATATTAGTGTATTATCTTAACAATAGTTATTAACAAAGTCCTTGAAGGACAAATCACAGGTAGAATTTGGCTCTTTGGAGCAAAAAACAACGTTTCTAGAGAGAAGAAACAAGAATAACAGTTAACAATATATAATAATAATCAACAAAGAAAAATAGAGTAAGAAAAGGATTGAGTAAAAAACAATAACAATATAACAGTATTCACCATGGTCTAACAATACGATATTACCCATCGCGTGAAAGTAACTTATTAACCATGCCCTGAATATTAATTACCATTTCTGTTGTAAGAGTACTAACCGCGTTTCGACATCTTGTAGTTGGTAAGGCTGAACCAACGAGCGCGGTTTTGAATGGGAGCCGACCATTTAGGCTTGTTGTAGTAGCCTAAAGGGAATACCATCATGGACGGAAGATCCTTTTCTGTGAATACCTTTGGTTGGCGAGTTTTCAGACGTAGACGGATTGTTTTGCGCTCTGGACAATGCCTGAAAATGACAGTAAGGTATGTTGTAGTAGGTTTGTATAATCTTAGTGAACAAAAAGTCTAAAACATTCTTAACTAAAAGAATGTAACTTACATAGCAGTATGATTGTTGATTCCACTAGCTCCACAAGTCTTGCAGGGCTTCAAAGCGGCCAAAACTGGACAAGAGTACTTAGAATGTGTACTAGCCTTCCGAGAACGATTGGTCGAAATGCAATAGGCACATGGAGAATGATCATCACTCGCTAGCCTTTGAGGCATTGAGGCTGAAAACAGATTCTGAGGCTTCTTCGATGAATCTGAAGAGTTGGACAAGTTCGAATTGGAATCGGATTTTGTAGATGTTGGATCAGTGGATGGAGTAGATGCTGTTCCACCAGACGTAACGGCAGATGGATCTACTATTATGGTAGCGAATAAGCTTTGAGGATGAGATGACAGTCCTTTCGGTGATGCAACCATGTTGTTATTTCCAGATCGGCTAAGCAATTTAGGTCTATTAGGTAATGGTGATGAAAAGAGCTTGGTCATCCAATCACGATTGTCTGAAGGGGCAGAAATAGTTTCGAAACAGAAAACAGAGTCTTCTGAAGTAGTCTCTCCAAACCTGAGATGCTGAAAAAAAATCGTAAGCCTTAAAAGTTAACCATTAGTGTTGAAATACGAAAAACTGCATGTATTTTTACCAAAACAATACCTAAACAACAAAAATCTTCGACCATTGTAAAAAACTAGATTTTATTCTAATCTTAAACATTTTAAGCAAAATAAACTATTAAAAATCAATAATCCTCTGTAATCCTCATCTAAACTATCTATTGATACCTAAAAACAAAAAAAAATTTAAACGCGCTTACCTGCTTCAAAATCGTTGGTGTTTGTTCGCCGAGGTAGAAACTGTGGTTAATAATATCGTTCAGCTCATCAAGACCAGTATCATCGAAAGATTTGGAACGTTCTTCGAACTCAACATCTTGCCGAATTCTTGTTATTCTCTCCGAGACCGTCCTGTCGCGTACATTCTGGATATTCAGAGGCAATGCTCGGTGTAGTCTATAGCCGGGCAGTTCTTGGTTATTCATCTGAGATAACTTGATATTAGATTTATAAAATTATAAAGGAATAATAGTCAAACGCTTTATTGTTCCTATAAAAACAAAAGAAATCAATTAACACCTTAAAAACATAGAAACACGCCGAAAAAACTATATTAAATTATCTTATAAATCTTTGTATTTTACTTTGATAGAAAAAGGTTAATAAACTGTAAACTGTAACTGTATAGCCAATAAACGTACCTCAAAAATTACTGAAACCAAAATTCCCGCTTTTACGAGTAGAAACAGCACTATAAATTACCAATAACATGTAAAATTAAATTTTCAACAATTTATTCAACAAAAATAAAAGATTTTCAGCGACGTTATAATCAACTTTTGCGCAATATAATCATTTTCACAATTATTAAAAAAAACTTTCAAAGAGTTCATATTTAAAAATACAATATAAAGCAACATAACATATTATTTCAGAGTTTGGAACGTATTTTGGATTACAAAGCGGCCGATCAATTGTCAAAAAAGGCAAAACAGACATGGTCAGGCAACGCGAAAGACTTGGCACGTTACAGAATTTGAGCCATGTGTTGTTGATGAATGTTGCTTTATCCGGATTTATTGTGGATTTTGTTGATAAAGTTGTTTTATAGGCAATAATTATGGCTGGAAGAAATCGTAAGTTTGTTTTGGTTTAAAATTTATTGTTTAACTTATTTATTTCGTAGTTTTCAATACAAATTTTTGAATTTTCGGTTACATTATGTTACATCCTTAGAAACCGGAGGAGTTTATCGCGTATTGACGTACGATCAGAACACAACGATCAATAACTTTGTGTACATGTATTATGAGACATTTGACATCCGACGAGACATGTTACCTTATTTATTCGCTGAATCAAAGGAAGGTATGGAAAACTATCCGGCACTCAACTTTAACGGTCAAAATTACTCGGGAATCGATGAGATTAAAGCAAACTTGTTTACTATTGGTGACACAAATCATGAGTAAGTACTTTTATTATAATTTTACGTTTATATTTTTTGATTTGCATTTGATTTTGATTAGAATGGCGATGTCATGCATGTGGGCGTCAAGTGTAATATTGAAATTTGAAGGGAATGCTTGAATGAAAATTAATTTAGTTCTTTTGTCATAGCAAAAAGGTTTAGTAGATTGTTTTACTTTCGTTTTTATAAAAGAGATCAAGAAATGATGACGATTTTGAATTCAAAACGATGTTATCCTTGCGAAATGTAGTGTAATATTAAAAAATGAAGGTAATATTCATAACTTTGTGGGAAGATAAGTCTGATGTTGATTATTAGTTCAGCAGAATAAGTTTAGTGTAAAATTTCAGATTGACATCAGTTGTTGGTTTGCTTTTAAATCAAAATGAAAAGGAATACATGGTAACAGTGCAAGGAACAGTTACGATTAATGGAGGTGAGTTCATGTTTTCCGAATCTATGGTGCTTGAAGAGACGGACAAAGTGAGGATTGTCAGCACGAATTGTCGGATCTATTAACTTTATTTTGGGTATGTTAACATCTGTTTCTCATCGTTATCAATGTTGTTATATTATACTAACTTTTTTTTCTTTTTTGGTTTACATTCGAATGTAATAAATTTTTTTGGGCATTTAAACATCTTGTTTTAACGTTACAGTACATCACATCAGATTTGACTGCATTACTTAAGATTTGAATAGATTTATTATTAAATTCTGTGTTAACATCTAAAACAATATCTTAATGCTTGTAAAATGGCTGCATGGGTATCAATATAAAACCTTTATAGTGATAAGCAGCTTAACTCAAGTTTACGTTGATTATTTGTGATTTTGTCTTGGTGTTACTTCGAATTCGCCTACCCAAACATCATGTTCTAATGATATGATAACACAGTCTCCAATTTGGTATTATCGAAATTAATCTAATTGTGGTTTTTCTTATGCTTTCTCTTTATCAGTAATGCTTCTGCTGAAACAAAAATGTGTCCTTTTTGAATAAAATTGCTATTATTTGTCTGATTTTAATGATATAAGGATAGTACTATTTTTGAGCTTCTGGTACTATTGAAGCTAAGGTTGGTATTAGTACTACTCTTGTTTTTACTGTTTTTTGCTGATATTTTACTGATTTTGTGGAAAAAGTTACTACAACTCACTTTTGACATTAAGTTAGGTACTAGTAGTACTATTGTTATTTTTTGGTACCACTTGTTGGACTTGTAAAAAGCAATTTCGATTGAAAAAAAGCAACTTTCTTAAGTATAACGTTCTGTCTTTGTTGCTAAAAGTTACTATGTTGTTATGCTCATCGATAGGGTCGATCAGCTTGTTTGGCCTTTTATCTGGCTTTACTTTGGCCGTTTCTTTGTTTACTTTCTTTGGATTTGACGGTATTTACAACACTGTTTTTGATGAGGTAAGGTATACATGATTATAACTCTTTTTTAAATTTAAAGTCTTTATAAAAATATTTAAATTTTTTAGCAAAACGTGCTGAAAGAAGAGAATGACGGTCAATTGACAAAGACGACTTTTTGGTGGACAAAACCGCCTGTCAAAACTTATCAAGACTTTTATTTTTTCAATATTATGAATCCAATTGACGTGGAATACTTTGGAGCGACTCCAGTCGTCCAAGAAGTTGGGCCTTTTGTTGTTAAGTAAGGTTTTATTGTCATCTTGAAATGTTAAGGCTCTTAATTACGCATTTTATAATGGTCATTCCGCTAGGCATGATCATATCACCGTTTTGAAAATGTCTTTCTTAAGTTTATATATAATAAATTGACGTCAAGGCTTTTTGAAATGTACAATTTTAAACTTATGTCCTATATGCACCGTATTTTACCATTTTTTAGAATTTGTATCTTTAAAACATTACTAATTTTTCAATTCTGTTATATAATTTGCGTATTTTACCTTTTTTTCCTAAAGCCTATACCTTTTTGTGATCTCAAAGTTGTTGTTTAAACTTATAAATTCCTTTCTGTAATAAAAACCAAAAAAGAAACGATGATAACACGTTTTTAGGTGATTATTTATACTAAAAGTATTTGATTAAGATTATACTATATTCAAAAAGGGAATAAAATGTTAGGTGCCGACATAAAGAGCCCGCCATACTTTGCCTGTAATTTCCTGTAAAAAATGGCGGGGTCTTTATGTCGGCACCTAATAAAAAAATAATTTAGGAACGTGAATATCAAAGACAACTTGACCTTTTCTGAAGATGGAAACAAAGTTAAATACCACAATTACCGCACATTCATCTATGACGAGGAGCTAAGTTGTGACACTTGCAAATATGACAGTCTGGTTCAGGTTCCCAATCTGGTGGCTTTGGTAGGGAGCTTTTTGGGTTCGGGCAGGGGAGGGGAGAGAGGGGTGGATTTTTGGGTTTGGCAAGGGCAGAGAAGTGGAAGTGATAATAAAAAGTGTTTTTGTAGGAGGTGGGGAGAGGGTAGTTTGTCAAGGCAATTATTTTTGAGGGGGGGGGTTTAAAAATGCTCTAAATTTTAATTTAAAAAAAATTGTATTACATTGTTCAAAAATTCTGTGTTTCCTCTCAAAGTACATTTTTCAGAGTTAGGGGCACATAATTATTTGAACAACCTAATATGGCTATTGATCCAGTACCAACAGCTCTATTGTTAATATTTCAGGGTACTTTAGGAGAGTTAGCCGATCCTCGATACGAAGTGCCAGAACATATTCAATGGGCTATTTCTTACCTCATGATATTTGTTGGAGAATATCCTTTTGTGTAGGTGTTATTTTTGTTTCCTTTATATAATCTAAATTTAAAAAATTTTTTGAATTTTTATATTATGTAACATAGGCTCTTGTTTTGAGCAACAAACGAAGGATAGCCTTACTAATCCTACTATTATATTAAGAGGAGGCTCATAATTATGTGAAAGACCTACTACAGTATTCGATTTCTCTAATATTTGATTTGAATTTAAAACCCTAAATTTTAGTCAAGTTGAAGTAGGAAAACTCCTGTTCGACGGCTACAACGACGCCCTTCTAAGTGCGGCACATTCAGAATTGGTCAACTTTCTTCAAAAGTACGTGAATAACAAAACAGTACCAGTACCATTCCCCGAAATGCACTACATGGCCATGTTTAATGCCTACAACAACAGTCATGACAGTGAGTACGAGGTGTACACGGGAAAGGATGATCCTGCCAAAAAAGGACAGATCATTAGCTGGAATGGGCAGAATTATTTGCCGTTCAGCTGGTGGAACAACGAGACTACGGCTAGCGATTTAAGGGGAACAGGTAGGGGATTCTGAAGATAATTTTAAGTTTGAACATTTAATTTAAAAACTTATTTTAAAATAACATTTAAATTAGACCTTATCATCATCGTATTTTACTTATTAGTGCAGGCAAAACAAGACAATACTGTTGCTTTTAGACAGTGGTCAATTTGCCCCTGCTCATCTAACTCCTGACACGATTGCTTCAATGTTTCAAAGTTATATGTGTCGGTATGTGTTTAACATTTTTTTAATTCTAACAATAAAAGTACCTAACCTGTCCTGCTCAGAATTCGCTTAAAATTTTTATATGAATTTTTAGCTGACATCTGGATTTTAAAATTAAAATATTTGAGTTTTCCACCAATTTGGCAAATTTGGCATTGTGTTTCAAGCACTTTTTTCGACTTTCCAGCCAAGCTACAAGTACAAATTTAAAAATGTAGCTCTATTTAAAGGTTTTCTACTAGTATATCAAAGAAAAATGATTAAAAGTCAAAAAATGAAAAAGTTATAAGCTTGAGACACAATGCCAACTTGGCGGGAAATTTAAAATGTAATCTTTTAATTTCGATTTTCTCGAGATTGACTGAAAAGCGTGAATTAGTACGTCGCAGAAGAAATTATATTTACATGATATTTCTATTAGGTTGTTCACTTAATTCTGCGCCCCTTCTCTAAGCAGATTTGTGGGGTACGGGGCGCAGAATTATGTGAACAACCTAATATATAAAAAGTTTGATGTCAGTCAGAGCGGGGCAGGTAGATCATTTTCCTTGTGAATTACAAAATATGGTAAAATACAGTGCATGGTATAAGTTTTAAAATTCATACTCTTCAAAGAAGTCTTGACTTCAATTTAAATCAATTTTTAAATTCAGTTAAAGAAAACTTTATAGTTATTTTTCAAAATTAAAAAATTAAAGTGATATTTCAGACAATAATTTCAGATCCTTCAACCTGACCTACAAAAAAGACACATCGGTTCATGGTATCAAAACCTATCGATTCGAAGGTATTCCAGAAGACTTTGACACAACTTTGCCAGAGAACGCCGGGTTTCGATATGCAAATTCAGAAGAAATAAATTATTTTGAAAATTGGCCAAACTGCGATGGCTACGAACAAAACGAGAATATCACTGTCAATTGTACACGGCCAGAGTTCTTTTGCGATGAAAGGTGTAACGGCAGCAAAGTGGACAATACTTATCTATTGCCTCCGGGCATGTATCCTGTCAATTGCTATCCAGGTAAGGAATAAAGGATTGTTGGCTGTAAAGAAATTTTTTGGCATTTTTTGGTTTCTAAAGAAAGTTATTGCCATTTTTATGAAGAACGTTTTAGGCAGGCCACTAGAAACCCCGTTTCGTTTGTTGTTCAGTGCTCCACACTTTGCTGGTTCACCGAAACAAGTTCGAGAGTCCATCATTGGCTACAGGGAAATGAACGATGCTGGAACTGTGTTTTCTTTCGATTATGAACCTGTAAGTCATTCTTCCTAATTTTTGTTACTTTTATAATATTTTTTTACAATTATAAACATTAGAGAAAAATTTTGAAAAGGGCCTATTGGCGTATTTTAAAATAACCCTTTTACAAAGATCACTTTTGCACAATAGTATAAACGGGATTAAGAAGCCTTACAAATGAAAGGCAGACTTAACAAGCCCTGAGACCGTCTCCCATGTGGTCTAGTGGTTAGGATTCGTGGTTTCAACCACGCGGCCCGGGTTAGTAAACCTGGTGAAGAAGTATAAATATATTTTTCAGAAATCCGGAGTACCATTAGCCCTGAACCTCCGTTTCCAATTGTCGATTCCGTTTGGCCGGATGGATAAGTTCGCTACGGTAAAACAGTTTCCAAACAAATTATTTCCAGTTTTCTGGACTGACAACCACAATCATTTGGAGCAATATGCAATAGATGAACTTTACTTTGGTCTAATTACTGTGCCTTACATTGCTAATGTGCTTACTGTGGTTACTGGCGTCCTGTTTGTTGTTTTTACCGTACTAACGATATTCAGTTGGTATAGGTATAATCAGAAGAGTAAGAAGGACCGATTTTGAGCTGTATAATGTATGTTTGACTATTGTAATGTATTTTTGATTAATATGGAAATAAAGTGTGAAATGGGTTATCAGTGGGCGATAAAACTTAAACAAATAAAAAAATTGTGTCATATCATCACTTTAATTTACCCATGCCCAACCAAAACTTTATAAAAATCAATAAAATGACGAATCACAACCAAAAAATTCTCTTGTATTTTACAAAAAAAGTTACAGTAGCCCTGTTAAGGAGCCTTCGATTGAGTATTCAGAATTTTGGAGTCAAGCACAGTCTCGTCTTGAGATTTCTGTGGCGCATCTGGATTGGACGAAGCTGGTGGTGCTTCTGGTTCTTTGTAGTCGTCGTCTGAATTGGGTTCTTTGTCCTTTTCGTCTTTTTCTTCCTGTTCTTTCTTCTTTTCTTTCTCCTTTTGTGCTTTTCGATGTAGACGTTTCTTCTCCTCGGCACGCTCGATCCAACCTCCTTTATCGTTGTCACGCTGAAATTATATTTTTAAAATCAATTTAAAAAAAAATTTTAATGGATTTAAAAAGAAAGTCTTGTAAACACAAATTTTTTTTTCAAAAAGAGATAATTAGGTATAAAAATACGAAAAAAAGGATAATTAGGCATTAAAATACAAAAAATATATTAACATAGCCAACTTACAGTCAATCTAGAGACCATACAAGCTGCCACCAAGCACAATATCAAGCACAACAATCTAAAAACATCAGGTTGTTTACATAATTCAGTGCCCTAATTCAAAGCGAATTTTCAGAGTTAGGGGTCACATAATTACTTGAACAACTTAATAACACAATGAATACATATAACAATTTTAATTCAAGTTTCCAATTAAAATCTGTTGTTACAGCAAGCTTTCATTATGAGAAACACAATGTAACTTCAAGTTAAGTCGATTATACCAAAAATTTTCTTTATCAATTTCTTTTACTTGTGCTACAACAAAAACAATATGGAAGAATTTAAACCATGAAGTTGATTATAAAGGGCATCTACTGTAACATACCTGAACGATGCGTAAAATAGACAGAGATAGGCTTGGAAAGGGCTAGAACGGGTAGGATTAACTCAGGTATATAGGAATAAAATAGTTAGGGATAGGCTTGGATAAGACTAAAGTTCTTGAGGGAAGGAGGCTTAAATAGGGCTAAAGTTCTTGGGGATAAAGGCTTGGATAAGGCTAGAATAGGCCGGATAAGACTAAAATGGGCAAGAGTAGGCTTGGGTAAAGCTAAAACTAGTTTATTTCTGAATTTACATTAGAACTGGCCTATTCAGTAAGGTGACCGATTTAAGAACCTATTCCCGGAAAAGACCTATTCAGTGGTGACCTATTCCGTAGGGTGACCTCTTCCATGAGGTAAATTATACCTGAAGAACGGTATAAAATACTAAAAAACAAAAATTGAAAAACTTACAGTACCACGAACTGGCCTGAAGCGATGATCAAACAGTACTCTTTACACTCAAAGTCATCGGCCCAACTTCGGAAGCTGTCAATTGGTTCTTCTGGATCTAATTCGTCGCTGGTACCAGTCGCGTCGTATTTTAGGGCTAATTCTGGGTCTGCCTGAAATGATTCATGGTTTATATTGTGTTAGAGAGTAGTTGGTAGCTTATACAAAGTTAAAAAGATAGAAGTTAAAAAGATTGTTATAGCCTAAATAGTTGGCTCAGTTACAACCACGTTAGGTCTCGACACGAAAACGAAGCAATTGGCATTTTGCATTACGTACGTTAGAGCAGTAGAGCTGAGAAAAAAGCCGTATGGGCCCAGTTCGGCCTTACAATCGGGCCAGTCATGAGTTAAGAGTGAATCAGACCGGGCCACGTTAGGCCCCGCGCCCGACCCGAAAGCCAGGCCTAGCCAGTCCTCAGAAGTAGGCCCAGCCCGTTTTACACCCATATTTGCCAGCACGATAAACTACAAAAACCCAGAAATCTTACCGAAATAAAGACGCAATCCGACTCTTCTTCAGGAGCGTTACTCTCCAACTTGACTGACAAGTATCTAATGAACTTCCAAGAGCTAGCATGATTACAGTGACCTATTAGTTCGTACTTATCAGGATTTATATCAGTACTATAATGTACTTGCAACAAGTTCAATTCACTTGACAGCATTAAAGTGTAGCCTTCTTTGGCATATACTCTACCAGTCTTCTCGTCGTATCCAATCGAGACCTGACAGTCGTTGATGGTCAAGTTGAATCTGGAATTTTTGATTATTGACAAGACATTTCGTAAAAATTTACAAAAATTAGCTAAATATTCAATTAAAAAAATATTTTTGAAGTTTAGGCAGATATGTCTAAAAATGTAAAAAACTTACAAAAAGACGCATTTTCGTTCAACTTTACCCTGAAATTAAAAGCTATAAGCCTATATGAAGATATTCGGTTGTTCAAATAATTCTGCGCCTCTTTTTCAAAGCAAATTTTTGGAGTGGCACAGAATTATTTGAACAATAATAAAACAAACATTATTTCAAAGTAAAAAACTTGTTAATATTCACACAAACTAGTCCTGTAAGGTGATAAAACAAGATGTAGCTTTACTGCCTATAACAAGACGTAAGTTAACTTACTATACCTATAACAAGTTGCAAGTTAACTTACTATACCTATAACAAGTTGCAAGTTAACTTACTATACCTATAACAAGTTATAAGTTAACTTACTATGCGAAATTTGATGTTGTAATCTTTGAAGACAAACTTGTTGTATAGCAAAGGTAATTCGAATCCGTACGATGACATATTCTTACACGTATCTCTGTCCAATGTTCTGTAATAGAAATAATGAGTATTGAAGGACAAAAGAGAAGAGCCTAAGAGTTTCTTTTCCTATGTAACTTCTTTGACCGCTAATATTTCGCTAGCCGGAACAATTTAGCAGTTTTTTGAAAACTGTTTTCCTGGTAACTTTTTATCCTCTGTCATAACATATAGGTCTTATTTTAAAAGCAGAGGGTTTGATACGATACCCTAGTCAATATTGTGAAAAACTTACAGCGGCCGCTCGTAAGAGTTGAATCCTGGACAAGCTGGAACAACCTTTCATAAAAGATTTTACAATTTTAAGAAGAGCAATTAGAGAAACAAATTAAAAAAACAGCAAATTTAATATAAAAATTTAAAAAATATAAAAATTCAGAAAAAGCTTACCAACTTGTTTGTTACCATCAGCCATGAACAATATAATCGATAGTATCAAGAGTTTGGTAATCATTTTTAGGGCAAAATACGCCGCCAAACATAAAATTCAAAGTGTAAAAAGTAAAATTTATTAACTTGAAAAGTTTCATTTTGAAATTTTTTAGAAAAGTTAAAAAAAGTTTGTTTTTATCACTTTTTGGCCTTTTTTCGTTCTTGCAGCTTTTATTTATACGATCAAAAATAATATTGTCTACGTAAAATATACGATGGATAACTGTCGAAGTAAAAAAAAAGTAATTTATCTTATTTTTTCGTCAACTTGTAGTTGCGATAAACAAAATCAGATAGAATTGCGCTACAATGAATCAAATATCGTGATATCTCTTGAGTGTGCATTGGTGGTTCAGTGGTAGAATGCTCGCCTGCCACGCGGGCGACCCGGGTTCGATTCCCGGCCAATGCAAATGATCTTTTGGGGGTTTTACAGTAAAAATGTTTTATTTTATAGTATTTTTAGTTTAGATGACTACTACAAATTAATTTTTAAAACAATTTTTAGGTCTTATGTTATTAATAATGACATTTTTTACTTTAAAAGTTTTCAAAAATATATTTTATATTTTATTGACAGCGTGATATTTTTGGGTACTAATATTAGGTTGTTCACATAATTCTGTACCCTCTTTTAAAGCAAATTTGAGAAGTAAGGAGCCCAGAATTTAGTAGAAGTGTGAATAAAGTCGCTCCGCCCACTGTCTAGATCGCGAAGCGATCTGACTTCACATTCAGTTTTGGAACGCGACGACCCAGCAAGAGGTCGCCCCAAAGCTCAGCCAAAAGGACGACCTGGCTATAGGTCGTCCCTAAATCTTAAGCCATCTAACAAGGCAGCCTAGCAGTAGGCTGTCTTGTATCATCAATGTCTTATCCCATGTATATGCATATTATATGAAAGATAAATAAATAGTTTGGGCTCTATAATTTAGGAATATATTAATTTAATTTATAAGATTACAATTATTTTGTGTGAACAAATTAATAACATTACGAAACACTGTAAATAACATCAATTACATTCGTGCGTCACAGTCTTGAATTAAGACATTATTTAAAATCATCGAAACAACAAGATGCGGTTCGTCATACACCATTACTAACAATCGAATGTTATCTTTGTTCTGGGCTGTGAGTAAGCGGCCGAATAAAACAAGAACATACGAACATAACAAGTCATTATACGAACATACAAACTGTTCCTTTTATACGATACTAGCTGTTATTGTAAAAATACTATTTTAATTTCAAAAATGTTCAAAAATTTGAATTTTGTACTATTACTTCTCACTACAGTAACCCTATCTACAGTAACCGCATCAAAGCAGTTTGTAGGAGTAAAAGGTCAATTTAAGTGTGAAGGAGTACCATACGAAAAGGCACAAGTTAAATTGTTTGACGACGACAAAGGTAACGGCTTTGTCTGGGTGTTCGGCTTCGCTCCGTGGCCTTTTAATCATCTACTTGCAGGCCTCGACACTGACGACCTGATGGCCGAAGGGTGGAGCGACAAAGACGGCTGGTTCGAGATTACTGGGTCGGAAAATGAAATCTTCGCCATTGATCCCAAGATCAACGTTTATCACGATTGTCGAGATACTTTGGTGGGTTAGATTTGTAATATAGACAGGGAGTGAGGGGGGAGGATAGAGGGAGAAGGAAAGAAGGAGGAGAGAAGCGAAGGGAAGAGGTGAGATTACAAGAGTGAGGATAAGCCTTGAAGGCCAAGTTTCAAACTTTGAAGCTTGAGGCTCAAAGTCAATTTAAATTAACGTAGATTAGCTTGTGTAAAGTAATTTGAATACCTTCTTTTAGCCTTGCCAACGCAAGTTCACCATTTTCATTCCCGATGATTACATTACTGAGGAGGAGGAACCTATCAAGTTCTTTGACATTGGCACCTTGAACCTGGACAGTAAATACCCAGAAGAAAGCAGAGATTGTGTACATTGATGTTGTCAGGTCAACTTGTACATAATACTTACTAATATAATACTACTCTTCATTATACACAAGCAATACTACCATGTATAATACTGTTGTAATAAATTTTAAAAGTATTTTTTGTGCGTTTACTCTTGTACTTTACTCATTTCAATGAAAAAACATCCAAATCAAGACGAAAAACCAGGCTTGGACGTAGGGCAGAGCAGGGCCCAATTTCAGGCACTGGCACCGGGCCCGCTTGGGCCTTGCCCGGTGCAGGGCTTTTAGGTTTCGGGCCCTGCCCGGCCCGGCCCCATGGTGGGGTCGGGCAGGGCATTTACAGGGCTTTACAGGGTTTTACAGGGCTTTCGTAAATTAAGTTTATAAAGCTAATAACAAGTGATATAAACTGATTTATATTTACTCGGCTTCACCCCTGATCTTTTTATTTTTAGCTAACCTCCCCCTGACCCTTTTCGCCCTACCCGACCTTACCCCTGACCGTTTTAGCCTCACCCAACATCACTCCCATCTATTTTAGCCCTACCCAACCCTACTTTTGACCTCTTTAGCTTTATCCAAGTCTACCTTTGACCTGTTTAGCCTTACCCGACCTTACCCTTGACTTTTTTTACCCTATTCTACTATACCACATCCATTCTATATAACATTTTATACCGTATGGTACCATACCACGCCCTATGATACCTACTATACCATACCAACAAAGCATACAAAATCCTACAATAACCTACCATAACCTATCTTATCCACCATACCAAATCATACAATACCCTAACATATTATAACATGCCATACTCTACCATACCCTACCATACCATACTATACCTGAACATATTATACTATTTATACTTTGCCTTATTTACCTACTCTACCCTACTTATGGGTAGTACACAGTAGTGTTGTATAAGCTTGGATAAGGTAAGATATGATACAGTATGGCATGGTATAGTATGTTGTAGTATGGTAGAATATGGTATTGTATGGTAGGGTACAATATGGTTGCGTAGGATCGGGCAGGGCTAAAATGTTAATGGTAGGGTTGGGTAAAGCTATAAAGTTTAGGGGTAGGGTTGGATATGTGCTAGAAAAGTCAGGGTAAGGCTCGGGCATGGCGACAAATGTCAGGGGTGAGGTTGGGTAGGGTTAAAATAGGTGCGGCTGAAGTCGGGTAGGGCTAAAAGGGTCAGAGGTGAAGTCGGGTAGAGCAAAAATGTTTAGATGTGAAGTGGGGTAGGTAACATTACTTGTTAGGCACTCAACAATTTTAAACTGATTTTTATTTTTTTCAAGAAATATGAAAAAATTTTTTTACCGGGCATTTACAGGGCATTATTGGGCCCGAAGCAAGCCCTGCCCGGTTACAATCATGTTCCCTGCCCGGCCCGGCCCTGTAACTGATCGTGAAAATGGGCCTTGGCCCGGCCCGGCCCCAGGGCCGGGCCGGGTCGGGCACAGGGGGCAACGCCCTACGTCCAAGCCTGCGAAAAACTCACCTTGTTGAACATATATCATCGTATAATCGTATTGTTCAACCTAATTAACCGAGTAAATGTCCTTTTATAAACAAATAAAGCAATAAACCAAAGGTTTAAACTGTGAAATCTTCAAAAATGCTGTCTCATTTGGCAGTAGACACATGTTGTTGAGCTAAAGAATGGCAAACAACAAAGTGGCACCAACTAAAAATGGCAAAATTGATATGAATTACTTGTCGAGGTAGGTTATTGGTAGGGTAGGATAAGTTAGGGTAGAGTTAAAGTAGGGTAGGGTAGGGTAGGGTAGGGTAGGGTAGGGTAGGGTAGGGTAGGGTAGGGTAGGGTAGGGTAAAGTAGGGTAAGGTAGGGTAGGTTAGGGTAGAGTAGGGTAGGGTAGGGTAGGGTAGGGTAGGGTAGGGTAGGGTAGGGTAGGGTAGGGTAGGGTAGGGTAGGGTAGGGTAGGGTAGGGTAGGGTAGGATATTACACCTTTTTCCCTGTTTTCTCTAATCGCTCTCTTCTATTTCAGTGATCCACCAATCGTAGTTGGACGAAAGGAATCTGAATTCGTTTGGTGTGAATGGTAAGTTACACGTATTGTCAATATAATCTTCAAGTTATCATAAAAGTGCATTTGAATTTTATTGTAATGCTCTTTTAAAGTAGCTTTAAGTCATTTGAGCCAGGAATTTTAAAATTTCTTTTACAAAAAAGCCCAAAAATTCAAATTTAAAGGTTTTTAGGCTAAAAAATGCCTTTTTAAGGAGTTTGTTTAATGAAGAAAATGACTGTAATCAAAAAGCCACTGTAACATTATTCTAAAAAAGTAAAACTGTTTTGGAATCAGTGATCGTAAAGAGTAGAAATTAAGTAAAATAGTTTAAAGTCGCGCTTTAAACTGTTAAAATTTGAGAGAAACGTTTCGAAAGTGTTTTGAAAACGCGGTTTGACTACAGATTAACATAATATTGGCTAGCTAAACTGTTTTAAACTATACTTAACTATATTTTGTAAACTTATATTTAAAGTTTTTATAATTTCTACTAACAATCTGTAGCTGAAGACATAAAAATTTGAATAAAAATGAAAAACAGCCATTCATCACCAGCTGATTTGGAGAGATTAAAGTAAGTCAAGTTCTTGTTCTGTATCCAATTCTAAAGCTTTAAAAGTTGTTTCCAAACGTTTTTGTTTGCTTTCGTTTTGCATAATGAATATAAGCGATTTCAGAACATTCCAAAGATTAAAACCTTTGAAAGATAGCCTTATCAGTAAATAAATACACTCGGTTATGTATGACAAAACCTTTTGTAAGGTTGGGTTTTTTAGTTTTTGTCAAAGGTTAATAAGGAGGTAAGGTAGCTTTTACTTGTTTTTTATTTTGTTCGACTGGCCCGGCCCGTTCCCCAAGTCTAGGTAAAACCTTAATGATTAGTGACGTTCTTACAAACCTTGCAACACTATGCTAATGAAAACAATTAAAAATAGAGGTTGGATTGAACGTATTTTACATTAATATCTGCCAGTATAATGCTTTTTCATAAAAGTGTGGTCTAGTGGTTAGGATTCGTGGCTTTCACCCACAAAGTTCGATTCCCGGCATGGGAAGAATACTTTTTTGAGTTTTCCATTAAAGCGTACTTTTGAGGTTTTTTGCAGTATTAAAAGTTATTTTTTTGAAATTTTGGTAATTGAATATTGCTAACGACATTTTACATCATACTTATTATTGTAGTTACATGTAGGTAAGGTCTTATAGGGACTACACTATTAATGCGTCACTTATATGGGAAAAAGGGTTTTTAAAATTACAAATAGTTAAGGTTTTACCATGATAAACAAGTAAAATATTTTTATGGTAGTAAATGATCAAAAACCACTAGTTTTTAATAGCTAACCATACTGCCTTAACAAGTAGAACTTATTTATTGAAAGCTTAAAATTTTTTTTTCAATATAAACTAAACTTTATAAAACTCATTAATATTAAATATAAAAACTAACCTATGTTTATATTGTAAATTATCAAAAATAATCAAAAAACGACTCGTAATAGCTATAACAACATACGCACTTCTTATTGAAAAATGGGTCGAAGCAATGTCTCAGGGTGATGTTGTTGTAGGTAAAGAGAATGATTGACGAGGTCTTCTTCACCTTCACGTTTAAAGCGCTTAGTTATTGTTGCCAGTAATAAAAACTGTCAATTCTTCTATTAAAAGACCTTCGAAGGTTGTTTTTCGCTTGATTCTAGCTAGTTTAACTATATTTTACTTAGTTTAACTATATTATACCTACGGAGGCAGTTAATATTGTTGTTTTTGATACTTACTACGGTCAAATATTGTAAAATTGTCGCTTTTTCGAGTAAAGATTGTGAAATTTGAGTCGCAATGGCTTCTAAAAGAGTGTAAGTGGCGTTTTAAAAAAGTTTTTAAATTAGATTTTAAACCACCAATTCATTATAGACCATTACATTATACAACCTATATAACCCCACCAAGTGTACCATTAAGAGTGTTTCCAGGAACAAGCTGCCAAACGTAAACCTGCCCCAAACCTCCTACGGGTCTAGTGTTGGGCCCGCCAGTCCATCTTCAATTCCAGATCGACCAAAGACGTCAGTTAGTGTCCTTGATGTGCCTCCAGAATTCCTGATTATTCAAGAGGAAATACAAAAGAAAAATCGAATGAAATACTGGAATTTCAACCTTGGGGTAAGTGTAAAATACGAGATGACTTTATTATCTTAGGCAAGGAATAATGATATTCTAAAAAGAAATCTGAACTCTTGTTGTAAGATTTATTCGAGATATTATTGTAAATCATTATTTGATTAAAGCAACGTACATATACAGTGTGCGCCAAAAGTTCTGTTACACGGTTTTTTAATCAGATATTTATTTTAACGACAAATATAACTAAAACAACAACTAACAATAGTAATATATAGTACTAGTTATAACATAGTCAATCGGTTTTATGTATATAATGAAAAACTGAGTACTGCTGTCACTTTTTTTTTGAAAGATTCATCTTAAACTTACAAAAAGTTGTTGAAGGACGTCTTGCGTTCAACTACTTATGTTTTAATTTTATAAACTTTTTAGAAGTTTGCGTTGTTTGCTTTGCTACTTGGCACATTGATTACTGCTGGTGATGTAGCAGTTCAAATCTACTTCCATGGTTATTACTATGCAGTGTTATCTACTGTAACATTCTTCTTTTACATTTTTGGAATCATTGGGAATCAAATTGGAATCAGACAAATTTATGTACCTCAAATCGTTTGGAATGTAAAGTTTTAAATTTTTGAACTTTTGAATTTTTTTGAAATTATGCAAAAACTTTGTTTACAGTAAAATTTTTAAAAGTAAAACATTTGTCTTAACAATGTGTTGTAAAATACGTTAAGAGCCAGTTGAGTTTTGTTATTTTAGCTAATCTACCTCTGTGTATACGTAGTCCTCTTCCTGGTCCAACTGCTACGATATTCACCATTCCATCACAAGCAGAATCGTCAAGATGTGTCGTTGGAAAAGGGCGGTAAACTGACTGAAAAAGTACTCGAAATAAGATGGGAGGACAGACTATATACAGCTTGGGTTGGAATCGTTGTTCTGACTACCGTTTTTGCATTTAAAGTTGTCTACCGTCATTTCTATGTTCTCGAGACTAATGAGATTACTGGTGCTACGGAGACGGCGGAGATTATCAAGGACGACGTGTTGAACAAGTTGAGGATGAAACTGGGGAAGATCTCGGAGGAGGACAGTGTTTCTAGTAGTGGCAGTAAATAAGTATTGTATATTTATAAGATATAATAAAAGTAATTGTACTATATTATTGTAGGGTTCAAAAACTTTAAGGCAGGTTAACAGGGAGGCTATGGAGAAGAGGGGGGGTGGGAAGGGAGGGGAAAGGAAGAAGAAAACAATTTTCCTTTCAAAAAGATTACAATATACGTGAACTTTTTAAAACTTATAGTCTTTTAAAGGACCTGTCCGGGTGTCGAAAAAACCCCGTTTGAACAAAACGCCGTAAAGTGGCGTGCTGTTTCAAATCAATAAATCGCGGCGGGACCAAATGGAAACTCTCACGTAAAATATTATTTTTTCGCAAAATATTATTTGGGTTTTCACGTTGATATTGTTGAAAGTGTTGTAAATCTATGTTTACTACAATTATTGCTTGAAATCTTAAAATTATATCTTAATATTCACTTTTATAATTGGATAGGTGAATATTTCGATGTGTTTTTGAGGTTATTGAGCTAAATTCGAGTAAAATAAGCTCGAAATTGTGTAAGTTATGATAGATAACAACCTCAGGGTTAAATTAAAGATTGATTAAAAGGTGTCTAATATTAATTTAGTTTCAGGTGGCATTTAACTTGTGTCAGTGACGTCTACATTCAGGTACAGCGCCCATATCCTTCAACAAAACACTATTTCAGGCCAATCATACATATTCCTTCGAGATGAACGTAAAAGGTACGTGTTTTGATGTTATTTTGTTAGGATTTTTAGGTATCTTCCCCATAGAAGGTTAAAGGATAGTTTGCTTTAATCTTTATTGATATACCGAGTTTTTCGATAAATTCTGGGTCAAATCGGTTCATTAAAAGTTTTGGTGTTACCTAAAACTTAAAAGGCAACATAACTTATTTAATTCAAAACTATATTGCGTTTAGCATATTAGATTTTTATATAAATAGCATAATCTTCCTTCTAATTGTAAATTAATGGTCTGCACAAGTTCTAAACTTATTTTTTAGGCAATCTTACATCAAGCTCAATCAATACCTACATTATTTTTTAAACTACGCATTTTACATTGACAAGAACATGTCTTATACGTATGAATAAAGGTCTTTCAATTATAATGAGTTTTGCGGTGTAATGTCAGTTTCTCAAGTCTGTATCTGTCTCGAAAAAAGAATCTATTATTTTAACTCGTAATAAGATGATCAAGTGCACAGTTTGTGAAGTTTCAATGCCACCTTTTGCAACTTTTCCAATCGATTACGCTGAACGTGAAATGTGGTGCCGAAGGTTAGGCTTACTGCCCGTGGTTCCTCCAAGGCATTATCGCGTGTGCTCACGTCACTTTGAGGACGGATCATTCTCTTTAGGGGGCGTTAGGTTCAGATCAGCGTTACCAATGATAATGGCACAACCAGAAACAGAAGAAGCGAGGGTGAAATCACGTATAATACCCTTATTTACATATAAAAACAATGTCATGCTATACATATAAGAACCTGAAATACTTCGCACAATATTTTTTAGAATCAATTAGATATTACACATCTTAACTTTTAATAATACCTAAAACATTTGATAAACAAAATCCCATAGACAAACTCTAAATATTATGAAAAACACCATATCTTCACGTAGATCAGGCCAACATTGTTTTCCTACCTTTCCAGGCGAACATACCTAAACACCAGAGTAAAATAATATCAAAAACTTATGTTTTCTTTCGTCTTGTAGAAATATGGATGCGTAACTTGACAGAAGATGGCTGGAACACAAGATATTGCAATCCTGAAACTAAATTAATATTAGACACCTTTTAATCAATCTTTAATTTAACCCTGAGGTTGTTATCTATCATAACTTACACAATTTCGAGCTTATTTTACTCGAATTTAGCTCAATAACCTCAAAAACACATCGAAATATTCACCTATCCAATTATAAAAGTGAATATTAAGATATAATTTTAAGATTTCAAGCAATAATTGTAGTAAACATAGATTTACAACACTTTCAACAATATCAACGTGAAAACCCAAATAATATTTTGCGAAAAAATAATATTTTACGTGAGAGTTTCCATTTGGTCCCGCCGCGATTTATTGATTTGAAACAGCACGCCACTTTACGGCGTTTTGTTCAAACGGGGTTTTTTCGACACCCGGACAGGTCCTTTAAAGACCATTCGACGTGACATTCCGTTATATTTTCCAATAATTTTTGTGACCTGTTGCAAATTTCGAAAAAAAAGTTTGCGATAGCGTATTTTACATCAATTAGAAATTATAAAACACAAATATTTTCCTTTAAAATTCTTTTTTTTTATTTTCTTCATATGTTACATGTAATTACCACAGTAAGCCAAAAAGAAATGCCATCCCATGTGAACGTTTATCTTTTGTTACAATCAAAACTGCTGCTTTTTGTAAACACAGCTTTATGATATACTGGCAGCAGCCTTAACAACATCAGGTGACACTTGACCTTCCAATTTTGCCTTTGGTGATACTGTAGTCAAATCACTGTCTACTGAGGTAAAGGATTTCAATGGAGAGTCAGAAGCCAATGGTTCGACGATTATTACTGCTGAAAGTCAAAAGTTTAGGTTTTAAAAACAGAAAAGTGTAAAAACTTTGTTTCCAGGTAAAAAGAATAGATCGAGTTATCGTATTTTACACATTTTAAAAATTTCTCAAAATATTATATTGTTTTACCTTCTTCCTCTTCATCTTCTTCACTAGAATCCATCTGTTCATGATAACTAAACGCTCCAAATTGGCCAAATTTCAGCTGGTCGATAGTGGCTCTGCCAATGACTTTTGCCGCTTCGTCCAAGTATATTTGGTTTTGAGCCAAATAATCTTTGAACACAACTTTGGCTGACGATTTGACATTAGTCAAGGCTTCCTGAAGTTACATAAAATTAAACAAGGCTTACTGAAGATAACACCAAAACTTAAAAAATTGAAAATTTAAGTTTTGTTCAATTTCTGAAATTTTAATTTTAAAGTGTATCAATAAAATTAAAATAAAACAAAAAGCTATAAAAAGTTATAGTAATTGTAAAAGTATGTTAAAAACCTCACTTTAAATTCAGGATTAGATCGAGCACCAGCGAGGTTGGTACCAACACTTGAAAGAAGCGCTACCAAGTCAGTTTGTAACTTTGTCGCATTTTTACCTAAAAAGTTAATGAAAAATTCATCATATTAAACGTATTTTACAAGAAGTGCCATTTTGAAACTTCTTCTTTATCTTTTTGTTAGTAGGAACGTTTAAAGACAACAAATTTGTGAACCTTACCAACAATAAAAGCCTTGAGTTTGGGAAACAAATCAGCAGTCGATTCTTTGTCGTTTTCAGATAGGTCTGACAATTTGGTTAGGAATGTCGAAATTGAGTCTTTCATGGTGACCAAAGTGGTGTTACCTATACGTTGGCCGCTACTTTTAGCTTCTTTTACTGCGTCTTGGAAGGTCTTGGCACTATCTCCAAACTAAAGGTAATATCTTATTAAAAAAGTCACATTGTAGGTGTCATTTCAATAAAGCATTCAAAATTAAAAATTTTAAAAATTTAAAAATTTTAATTTTTAGATTTTTAAATGTAAAATACGGTTTTTTTCATGAAAGTGCATATTTTACTGATCAAACAGATACAAACTACAAGTTTTTGATAAGAAAAGTGGATAGCAACACGTTAAATACCTCTGCCAATGCGCTCAACAAATTTTCTGGTAATTTGGCAATAGTTTCCGATATCACATCCAAGAAGGCACCAATAGAATCAGCACCATCTGGACATCCGTTGGCTACAAACTTCTTTACAACAGCTACATCGTCAGCATTTTGTAGAGCCTTGAACTGTGAAGGATCATGAGTCAGCTTCAGGAGGCATTCTACTTCGGTTTCTGGGACCTGGAATAGTGTAATTAACATTATGTGACATAAAAACAAATTCATACATAATAAGTACAGTAAAACCTCTTTAGTATGCCTCTCCATAGTATTCAACACCAACCCAGATCGGGCCTTTTCCTTCTTCTTTGTAGGACCGCGCTAAACCGGGCCTGGCCTACACGACCTGTTTCTCACTCTTACCTCCCACCCCCCTCTCCTCATCTACAAAGCAAAAAAAAATTTGAAAAAATTTTAACGCAGTCTCCCTATAAAAATTTTTAAAAAGCTTTGTTTGTCTCCTTCAAAGAAGACAGTACATGATTCAAAAACTTACCGCTCTGTATGCACTGACCCAACTGTCTGGAGCGTATACTAAAAACAACTTTTCTATCATATAATACTTATGTCTTATTAGATTGTTCAAATAATTTTTTGCCCCCATAAGCCGAAAAACTTGCATTTATGTACATACAAGAGAAAAAACATAGCTACAAAGTAATCTAAATCTTTAACACCAAAACCTTACTTAATAAGCTAGCCTCGAAGAATCTGCTGTAAGTACTAGCGTTTACTCCTTGAACATTTACACTCAAATTACTGGTTAATGGTTTACTATAGACAATATTGACAAATAAGATAAAGAATATACACCGTAACATGGTAATAACAATGACTGCGACAAAAAGTGATTTACAGAGTAAAGGATTTGGTTTGAATTTTGTTTTACCATGGATAATCCTCACTTTAACTGATTCAAAATAATTGGGATTGCGAAAGGAAGAGAAGGTAAAATACGTAGTATGCAGCTATCTGCGTGAATAAAAATTATTAAATCAGAATGGCTTAGGTCTAAGTTTATTTGACATGAAGCTGAGATGTTTTTAGTCGATGTTGGTTTACTCAGCTATGAAATTGCACCAAATATTCTTGTGCTTTTAAAATAAGATCTGTACAGGATGAAGGAGCATAAAAAGTTACAGGAAAAACTATTTTCAAAAACTGCTAAATGGCCTCGACTAACGAGATATTAGAAACTCAAAAAACAAGCGTCTCTATTGACCTGTTCAAAACAAATAAACGGAGAAATAAATACAATGTGGCCGAGAGGTTAAGAGGTTAGTCTGGCATTCAGAAAGCGGTAAGTTCAAATTCTCTTGATTTTATTTGGTGTTTTGACATAATGACAAGATATTTTGGCTAGAGAAACAATATTTTGCTTAAAAAATTATTTTTTTAGTCATACTTTTTAATTTCAGTTACTATTATAAGGTTGTTCCAAAAAAGAGGCCTAATTTTTGCAAAGAACATAAGGTTATCGGCCATTCTTTGTGGAACAACTTAATAGAAAAAAATATTTATCATAAAGTATTATTTTTCGAATTTTAAAGCTATATGTTTTAAAAATGCAAGAATATTGAACCTACTGTAACGCGCTAGCCAAAGCCATTAAGCCGTTTTTGAAAATAGTTTTTGTGGTAACTTTTCATTCGCTTTCATTCTATATAGGTATCGTTTCAAAAAGCCAAGGTATATTTTGTGCAATTCTCCTACTTAACCAATCGTTTATTTATAGACCCAAGATATAAAGTTAAAACAATTTTAATTAATATTCAAATTGCCACCAAATCCGTTTTGATTGACCGATGATTGGGCCTCAAGACTATGGCCAAAAGGATTGTTACATCCAACGCTTTTGAAGTTCTGGAAGTTACCCTCAAGGCTTTCGGAAGAATCAAGGTCGGCTGGCAGATTGTTGTTGACATAGCCTCCCAATCCTTTGCCAGACTTTAGCTTGCTAGCCAGATCATTTCCAACCAGCTGGCTGGCTTCAGTCAGGTATTGCTGGTTTTGGGTGGTGTAGTCGTTGATCACCTTCTTGAAGTCTGTTCGGAGGGTTTGATAGGCGGTCTAAAACTTTTTTTTAAATTTTTGTAGTGAAAATAGTTTTCTATATCATGATGACGTCTTTTCTTTATCATGATAACATACTTTTCTCCGTCGTGATGACATATTTTTCTCCATAATGATAACACACTTTTTGTGCCAAATTTGTTAAAAAAAAGTGTGATCATGACATATTTTTCATAATTTCTTAAACTCACTTTCATTTGAGCCAGCTGGGCGGGATCAGGCTTACCAGTTGTACCAGATGGGCTTTGAGCCATAAGATTGGCCAGGCTGGTCTGGAAGTTCTTGGCATCGTCACCTAGAACATTTTCATAATGAAAAAATTTTAAAATTCAAAAAATCACATCATTTTGACATCTTAAAGTACAAAAAAAAGTCTTGCCGTTTTTCGCCGTTCAATTCTATATAAATTGACGTCAAGACTTTATTAAGCTCAAAAATATTATATTGTTCAAATAATTCAGTGCCCTATTAGGTTGTTCAAATAATTCTGAGCCCCCTAAAACCAAAAATTTGCTTTGAAAAAAGGCACAGAATTAGTTGAACAACCTACCATTAAATATTTTAAATTTTTCCATAAAATATGTCATCATGATTGTTACTTGTAACCATTAGGACCCTTACCTGTGATGAAAGCAGACAATTTGGGGAAGACCTGAGCAGTAGCGTTCTTATCAGTATCTGACAAGTCTCTGATGCCAGTGACCAACGTTGTAAAGGCATCCTTGACCTGATTGATGGAATCTTGAGTTGGAGGTTGAGAAGCGTTCTGGGAGGTCTGGATTTGAGTTTGGAAGGACTTCACTGAGTCAAAGAACTGCAATTTTTAAGTTTTTGACTTTAAAATAAAAAAAATTTATATTTAAAAAAGTTTTCAAAAATTCAAAATTTTAACTTTTAAATTTTAAAATAAAAGTTATCAGTAGAAATCGCGTATTTTACCTTCTCAAAAAGACTTTTGACCGAGTCTGGGACCTGTTGCAAAATTGTGGCAGCTTGATCAAAGAAAGCTGTAACTTTATCAGCTCCTTCAGGACATTGTTGTTGGATCAACGCCTTGACTTGATCCTGACTTTGAGGATCTTTCAAAGCCTTAAAGTTGTCTGGATTGCTGGTCAGGTTGAATAAACACACTTGCTCGGATTCTGGGATCTAAAGATATATAAAATTTTGAAAAATTTTTAAAAATATGTAAATTTTTGGCCCGAGTCAAAGGCCCTAGCCCAGAGCTCTATTCAAGAGCCCTAGCCAAGATTCCTATCTCAGAGCCCTAGTCCAGAGTACTAGCCCAGAGCCCTAGCCCAAAACCCTAACCCAGAGGCCTAGCCCAGAGCCCTAGCCCAGCGCCCTAGCCCAGCGCCCTAGCCCAGAGCCTTGGCCCAAATATTTTTAAGATTAAAATTATTAGGTTGCTTAAATAATTCTGTGCCCTTCACAAAGAAATTTCCAGGATTGGAGAGCACAGAATTATTTTAACGCGCTAAAAAAAATGAAATAAACGAAAAAAATTTTTGAAGAGAAGACTTACTTTTTTTGTACAAGTTGACCAATGTGTCTGGGAATACTACTGAAATTAAAAAAAATAATTTTTTTATATTTTAAAATAACAAAAATATTATTTTTAGAAAAAGTAAGGGTTTTTGATTCTTTTTCGAAAAGTTTTAAAACTTCTTTTTTTTTAATTTTAACATACTAATATCACGGTAATTAAATGATTCAATTGATGCAAGGTGAATCAAATCCGAAAACAATCACATTATCAAAAAAAAATTTTTTAAAAGTGAGCTTGGTTCCCCTGTTGATTTTTTTTTCCAAAATATCCAAATTTCAAAAAAATTTTTTTTTTATTTTTAGTTTGAAAATACAAAAATAATTCTAGCACTAACTAAAACATCATAACTTCAAAAACCAACTTACAAATCAGCGTAGCCTCAAAGAAATTGGACTGAACCGAAGCGTTGAAGCTGTTCTTACTCATTTCAGCCGCTCCACTCATCTCTCCGCCAAAGGTGGAGGAGAGATGCGGCGCAGGAGCGGCCGAACACAATCCCAAAAACAAAGCCAAAGGCAAAGCCAAAGACGTGACTAGGCTCATCATGAGTAATATATTGCAGAATTGTTAAAAGTTGTCGCTTTTATATTGGACTGTTGAATGTTGTTCATGCAACAATAGGGATCATCCCCCCCCCCTTGAAAAACGAGACTTCCAATTAAAAGTGAGCTATAACTGTAGTTCAGGGAAAAGCCGTGTAGTTTGTTTGTAAGCTACGTGAGGTCAGAACTGTTGTCTGTAGCATAACATGTAGTTTTAGGTGTGTATGGTTGATGTCAAGCTAAAAATAATGTTATACAAAAGGAAAGAGTGGGCGTATTTTAGAAAGTTAAAACACACTAAAAAAAATTTATAAACACATTTATTATTACTTTAAAAAAGTTACAATATTAAATGTACAATTCTTTCAGATTTTAAACAATTTTTTTAAAAAAATTTTGCAATAACGTATAAAAAACTTCTTCAGATTTTTAAAAACTAAAGGAAAATATAAAACAAAACTAGTATACAACATGCAATACTAAAAAACCTTAAAACAAAGCTTTAGTGTTGTAAAAATCCCAAAAAAAGTTTTCCTTCCCATGCCGGGAATCGAACCCGGGCCGCGTGGGTGAAAGCCACGAATCCTAACCACTAGACCACATGGGAGACTCTGGCTTCCCTTTCCGAAACACCTTTTCTCTTTTTGCTTGAGGAAAAGAGGACAAAATGAGAGATATTTGTTGAAAACTGATGATTTTTAAGATATTTTAATATAAGTTATTTAATATTTTTAAAATAAAATACGTCGTATGATTTTTTGTTTAATAATGTAAATCTTTACAAAAATTTTTAAAATTGAAAATCCAATATTAACTACAAAGGAAAGTCCAGCCTATTTCTATTTGACTTGAAAATCTTTATTCAGAAAGATCCTGTAAATACAAAAACTTCAGCAAAGTAATAAATTGCACTTTCTGGACAATCTCAAGGAAATCAAAATCAAAAACTTTCGTTTTTGAATTTCCCGCCAAGTTAGCATTGCGTTTCAAGCTTATAACTTTGTCGTTTTTTGAACTTTATTCATTATTCTGTGATACACTAGTAAAAAAATTTGAAACGGTCTTACATTTTTAAATTTGTAAACGTGGCTTGTTTGAAAAGACAAAAAAGTGTTTAAAACACAATGCCAAATTTGCCAAAATGGCGAAAAACTCAAATGTTTAAAATATAAAATTCAAGCGAGCAAATTAAAATTGTTTATGGGTACTGTTGGTGGTACAAAGAATTCATATAAAAAATTTGAGCTTTCTGAGCAAGGCAGGTTTAGTAGTTTTCCTCTGAGTGGAGCAGGTGGAGTATTTTCCTTATAAACTAATATATGTTAGTAAAAAATAAAAATACTTAATATTATTATAAAAAAGCACAAAAAATTTAAAAATTTTACAAAAATGATACTTAAAAAAAATTTTTTTTCAAAATATACTTTCTCAACCCAGTCCAAGTGTTTATGGTAAAAAGCCGAAAAGTTTGTAAGTGAAAGTTCAACAACAAATGTTCCGCCGGTCGTAAATTGTATTTGTGCGGCCGAAGGCGGAAATTGAGTTTTGCATAAAATTCAGTCTAAAAGGTCGCTAACTGCCGTGATTTATGCACATTTTTATACGTTTTCAATATGGTCGGTAAATATTTTTTATGGTTTATTGTCTGACATTGTGACGGGCCTTTGGGTGGAATACGGTAGATAGTGTGAATGTTGAGATTTTGGATTTATTTTTTGTTAAAAAATGTTTTAAAAGTGTCAAAATTACAAAAAGTTGGAAATTTTTGATTTTTGAGTGAATTTTTTTTAGGCGTTTAAAATAAAAGCCTGTGTAAGGGTAGTGGCTTACTTATTAAAGAATTACACCAAATATGCTTTGGCTTTTGTTAAGTGACCTATATAGGATGGAAAAACATAAAAAAGTTACTTAAAAACTACTTTTAAAAACTTTTAAATGGCCTTGGTTACCAAGTTACAGTACGCTCAGTATTTTTATATGTTTATCAGGTATACCTTTCAATTCTAAGAGCGATATTTTTTGACAAATAGCTTTTTCTTTAACTTCAACTATAATTTATTTATTTTACTTGTTGATTTGCACATTTTTCTGGACCGGATGAGCCAAATATCACGTCGAATTAATTATGGCTGAACCTTGTTTTCAGACACAATTCTCATATGTGACGCGATTTCCGTTAAACTTTCTTGTCTTGGCTTTTCTTGAGGTTTTGATTTAAAGTAAAAGGGTTCTGGGGTAAAATACGACATATGTATAAACTAGACTAAAATTTTTCTTAGAAAAAGATATAATTTAAGTATTAAAAGCATAAAAACTCACGTTTAATATAACATAATATGAAATTATAATACTTTTCGTACTCTGCCGTCTCTCCATCTCTCTTTATCTTTCTTCTTTTTACTAATTTTGCAAGTTCAGCGGGTTTAGTTAGTTGGTATTCATTGGCCAAACTTTTATTTACCTTGTATAAATATTACACATGTTGGTGGGTGTGGTTGTGTTTACTTTTTCTATTTATTTACTTGAATATTCGTATATGCTTCGTTATCACTGGAGTATGCTGTTGTCATAGGTAGGGGAATGGGTGGGGAACTATGCTGTTGTTATAGGTAGGGGGTAGTACTTTGAAGGGTTGGGAGGGGAAGGGCAGGGGTGTGTAAGAAAATATGTGAAGAAGTAGGGGAGAGAGTGGGAAGAGGGAGAAAGAGGGAGAGTAAAAAAACCACTGAAAACTGGAAAAGAGGGGGGGGGAAAAATTTTTTTTAGAATTAAGGGATGCTTTTTTAAAAATCAGTTAGCAAAATTAAGAATTTTATACATAGACCATCAAGTACCAGTTGATAATAGACGTAAAAGGAGGTCGACCCGCAGCAAATTTGAAAGAAAGCCAGACCGGCACATGTGGCTCTTAGACCGGGCTGAAAAGTTGGGCTCGGTTTGGATAAGGGTGAGAAACGGGCTAGGCCTACTTTTCAAGACCGGCCCATTTCAACTTTAATTTAAGGCTGCCTCAGTTCGATCTTAGAACTGAGCAGGACCGGGTTTACACGACTCGTTTTTCATCTTTAGGTTTAGCCCCTTTGCAGGTCTAGCCGATAATCCTTATTAGTTCCTCATTTATGCTAGCAAAACTTATTAATGTCTTATTTCAGTATGTCACTACTAAAATATTACATTGTTTACAACCTTATCACAATTTATTCTTGTTTAAGGAAAACAAAAACTAATCACTGTTAATTTTAAAACTGTTGTAAAGCTTTTACAACCAGTTAAAGCATTTGAAATGGTAGTAAAAGGTATGGATGTTACAAGATTTTGACTTTTAGTGGCTTTAAAATATTTTTCTTGCAGATTGCCTTAAGTAAAAATCGTAAGTTTTTAGAAAAGATTAGTATGTCTTTTACATTAGCTGGTGCGCCATCCGTACTTGATTCAGATACAGGGAGAGAGGAGGGGAGGGGCAGGTAAATATGGTTTGACTATACCTTCAGCAAGCCTTGCTTCAACTACATACATATACTTGGATTTTTTTTAATAGTTAGCCATTTTAGTTCTTAATCCTTGTTTTACCAAGAAAATATAATACTTCATTTTTAACTCTATGTGGACCTAAAAGTTGTTTTTTTCATTTCTATATATGTATATTATGTAATATTGTACTTTTATAAAACCATTCAAACCCAAATTTACTTTTTTTGTTCATAACTTGACTCAAGAATTACTGACCAAATTATACGTGGATGGTTTATTAATAATTTATGCAAATTTCGGCAAGAGCCTAATTAACGATTCAACAATAACTTATGTTTTGTGCACTTTTAAGTGCAATTAAGAGGTTAATTGAACTTATTATATAACGCTAAGGTGTTAATATACTGTGGAACTTGTTTACAGGGTGTCCCAAGATTTTTGCGGAAAAGTAAAAGCTTGTTTCTCGAAAAGTACCATACCAAATTGGACGATTCTTTTTTTAGTACACTTGAAATTGCGGGCGGATTTGGTATTGGTACTTCGTTTTTTGATATTCGGCGGATGGTCGGCGGAGACCGGCGGAGGCTACTTTTTTGCTTTGACCAATCCAAAACCTTCATTTTTTGGTTCCTATGTCACCTGCTGATTCGTCAAAACGCTTTCAAATCAAAACATGTCTTTCCCTGCATCGGCGGACGACCGGCGGAGAAAAACGGCGAAGGCCATAACTCCGCTCAAACTCAATATTTTTTTACCGGACAAAAAATGGAAATGTTATTTTAAGCTTTTTAATACATTTAATCAAGTTTACAGTTCAAAAAATTTCATTGGCGGACGATCGGCGGAGAAAATCGGCGAAGGCCGTATCTTGGTCAATTTTTAATAGTTTTTTCTTCGGAAAAAAGTTGTTGGTACCCTAAAGCCCTTCTCTACCAAACAAATTTAAAAATTTTTAAATTTTAAAAAATTTTTTTTATAAAAATATTATTATTTTTATTTTTTTATTTAACTTTTTAAAACTATTCCGATATTTTTTATAAAATGTTTATTAACAATAACCTATATAACAACAACGCTAACTAATGAGATTGTTCATCGTTGGTTGCTGGGTAACTCCTTTCCACACTTTGACCACCAACATCAAGACACCGTCGCAATCGCTTCGGATAGTTACGCAAAGTTGCGCGACACATTTCCACTGAAATCTCCGCAACCACATCGCGAATTTTTTGCTTTAGTTCGCGTAACGACGCGACTTGAACACTGTATACTTTTGCCTTCACGTAACCCCAAAGGGAAAAAATCCATTGGGGTTAGATCGGGCGAGTTTGCCGGCCAAACGAACGGAGGAGGAGCGCCGCGACTATCCCGACCCATCCAGCGACCCGGCAGATGGGTGTTCAAAAACTCGCGCACAACTAAGCTATGATGAGGCGGAGCCCCATCATGCATGTACACCAAAGTAGCTAAAAAGATATAAATTAGTATTTTGCTTGTTTTTCGTACCTGAATTTGGCCACTGTAGAAGCTGTGGCAACACATCTTGCTCTAACAGCTCCAAATAACGTGCCCCGTTAATGTTTTCATTAATGAAAAAAGGCCCCACAACCCCGTTCCACCCGATGGCTGCCCACACATTCGTTTTGGGAGAATGCAGCGGCTCTGATACACACCAGTGAGGATTCTCTTTAGCCCACCACCTTGAATTTTGACGATTTAAGCGGCCATGGATATGAAACGTGGATTCATCGCTAAAAACTAGCTCTTCCAAAAACGCCTCGTTGTTTTGCAGCTGCTCAAGCATAACATTTGAATGCGATAAACGTTGTACTATGTGCCTTGGCAAGATTTCTTGCACTTTTTGAAGTTTGTATGGGTGGTACCCAGCTTCGCGCAATTTCCGACTACATGTACTCTTCGAAGGTATACCCTCAAAACGGCTCAGTTCTCTTACAGATATTCGCGGATTCTCGGCAATAGCATCCCCAATTCTAGCAACAACTTCAGGAGTGGCAACAAAGCTAAAGAAATGTTATTTTGTTAGTTGTGCTTACTTTGTTTTCACTTTTTCTTTTCTGAGGCAGTGGCGACGACTACGAAACTCGATAACCCAGCGTTTAATAGAATCTGCTGACGGACAGGGTGCACGAGGGCTACGGGGGTGATACACGGCCATGTACTTTCTACGAACGCTTTCAGGACTTTCCCCTAACTTAAAATACCATTCAACACATTCACTCTTAACATCAGCACCCCAAACCATTTTTTCTTGATCAACGAGTTTTAAAAAAATAAAAATAACACCAAGTCAGAAAAGTTTCAACTATGTTTTTATGATTTTATTTAAAAAATATATGATCTCTGTCGATCGAAAGTAATCTTAACTAATTTTTAAAAACTTCACTAATTTCTGAATTCGTAACAGTTAGGTAGAGAAGGACCTTAGGGTACCAGCAACTTTTTTCCGAAGAAAAACTATTAAAAATTGACCAAGATACGGCCTTTGCCGATTTTTTCCGCCGATCGTCTGCCGGTGAAATTTTTCGAGTTTTAAACGTAATTGAAATGATTAAAAAGCTTAAAAGAACATTTTTACTTGTTTTCCGAAGAAAAACTATTAAAAATTGACCAAGATGCGGCCTTCGCGGATTTTCTCCGCCGATCGTCCGCCAATGAAATTTTTTGAACTGTAAACTTGATTAAATGTATTAAAAAGCTTAAAATAACATTTCCATTTTTTGTCCGGTGAAAAAATATTGAGTTTGAGCGGAGTTATGGCCTTCGCCGTTTTTTCTCCGCCGGTCGTCCGCCGATGCAGGGAAAGACATGTTTTGATTGGAAAGCGTTTTGACGAATCAGCAGGTGACATAGGAACCAAAAAATGAAGGTTTTGGATTGGTCAAAGCAAAAAAGTAGCCTCCGCCGGTCTCCGCCGACCATCCGCCGAATATCAAAAAACGAAGTACCAATACCAAATCCGCCCGCAATTTCAAGTGTACTAAAAAAAAGAATCGTCCAATTTGGTATGGTACTTTTCGAGAAACAAGCTTTTACTTTTCCGCAAAAATCTTGGGACACCCTGTATAACAAAAGAGAAAAGAAAAAAGTTAAAGAAAAAGAATGAGAGAGGGTGAGAGACAGTGAGAGAAAGAGAGAGAAAGAAAGAGAACGACCGGGATAAAAAAGACTTTCATTGAGCAAAAGAGTGTTGCGGAACCCAGTCGAAAAACAACTTCCAAATGCATTGGGTCTGCTCTGATTTGTGAATGCTTTGTAGCATGTCTGTGGAATGACTACAGAATATCTATGAATGCCTACTACGACCGCCATTAAGGCCAGTTTCAGGGGCGGCTGATTTCGAAAATTGGCTAATTTTTGGACTGACCTTAGGAAACTAGGGTCTTATAATTGAAATTTTTAACCAAAGCCAGTGAAACTAGGTCTATTAAAAGGTTTTTTACTAATATACCAAAGAAGAATGATTAAAAACTCAGAAAATTACAAGTTATAAGCTTGAAACACAATGCCATTTTGGCGGAAAATTCGAAACAGCATTTCTTGAACTTGCTCTTTTTGATATTTCCTGGAAAGAGCGATTTAGTACTTTGCTTGAGGACTTACATTTACATAATCTTTTTGTACAAAAAGTTTGAAGTCTATCAGAGCGGGGCAGGATGGGCAGTTTGCTTGAAAAATAATTTTTTTACAGAAACCTATTAAATTCTTCAAGTTTTAAATTTGTTTTTTAAGACTTTTTACTTTCATATACCGCGATATAACTTTTGTTTTGAAGTTTGGAACTCCTTGTTTACTTTTTAATGTTACTATTATGTACAGAGACGTATTAGGTTGTCCGAAAAGTAATAAGTCAAACAACAATTTTTAAAAAAATTGGTGTAAACTCAATTTTCGACAGATTTTCTAAGTTCTTTTTTAACTAATAGTTAACTATCTATATTTTTAATAAAAAGTGTATAATATTATCATATTTATCCTTTTCTTTAGACCCACCTTTCAAAAAAATTTTGGCTCAGAAATTTTTGGACAACTTAAAACATCTCAGATTCGGACAATCTAACACAGTAAACCTTTTATTCAAACTAATTTTGGCAACATTTACAGCTATTTTTGGTTCGCATTGAAACAAAAAGGTTCAAGAAACAAGGAACGGAGGCATTCGACGTGTTCTTCACTATAATATTCTAGTCTAACGTGACTTTTATTACCTCTATCTTGTAGTTGGTTTTTAAAAAAGTAATTTTAAGTTAAAAAAGTCATTTTTAAAACATTTTTGAAAGGTGAAAAAAATCATTTATCTACTATAATATTGTTGTAGTACTACTTTTTATGGTCTAATTAGTTTAAACATTGGTCTAAACGTCCATTTTTGTAAAATAGCTGTACTTTTTGGGCTTTACTGTATAGGTTTTGACAATTTTTATTGTCCGTCTTTGTGTGTCTTAGTGTATTTCACATTTTTAAATTGTAACTACACTGTTAAAGATCACTAACTTGTCATTATATTGAGTTGTAATTACGGTTGAACCTTCTGTTTTACTACGTAGTAAGCTTTTCTTTTAAGCTTGGCCTAGTACATTATTATATACATAAGATCCCCAGTATTTATACAAGTCATTACTTGCCATACTTGAACTTTAAGTACACTTATACCTGTACCTACAGGTTCAACTTTTTACTTTTTACTCTTAACACTACCTGTAGTATCAACATATAGCTGTAACTATTACTTTACTATTGCATTTAACCTCTTTAACCTATATATAACTTTTACACAGTCATTTACTCCAGAATAACGTAGTAATTACTGAGATCGTCTTGACATCTAGATCCTAATGTCTAATTAGCCTGTTTACAGAGTTGTAAAAGTACGTAGTTTCTGTCTAAAATACCCGCTTACAACTATTTTGTATATCGTAATTGTTATTCTTAATTGTAAAGTCAATTTACACTTTACTATATACAACTTACTCTGCCCTAAATACTACAATATTATACGACACTCAAGGTTGCTATAGTGAACAGAACAAATGGACGTGGATAATATGCACGCCAATCCGACTGTCTTCGATTTACAAAAGTTAGAGAAATACACTAGGAACAGTCGTAAGTTATCGATTTGTAAGTGATTTGAGAAAACTTTGTTTCCAGCCGGTTTTTGAGTTTACTTTTGAAATTTTGAAATGTAAAGAAAGCTTTTGCAGTTTTTAGTATGGAGAATATTTTTTTTGTTGATCAGATAAATTTATTTTTTTTTAATAAAAAGAATTTATAATGGTTTTTTTGTTACACGAAATGTCACAAAAAATATTGGAAAATGTGACAAAGTGTCAAAAAGATAAATTGACATTTTGATGCTTTTTAAATAGAAAAATTAAGTTTTTACATTATAAAACTTCAAAAATTTTTTTGTTTTTTTGACACTTCATTTTAGTTTCCAATACTTTTTGTGACAGTTTGTTCAATATTGAGACATACCCAAAAATTAATACGACAGTTCAAAAACTAATGTTAAAATAACTTTGAAATTGGCTTTAAACTATTTTACTGTCTTTTTTTACTGTTTACTGTACGCACAACTTCACAATAACAATATATTTTCAGCCAACGCAGATATCCCGGTATTCCACTTGGTGCTGGTGATTGTGTCAGTCCTATTGATATGTTGTTCCATCTTCACAGCCATTGGTATCTATTTACGTGTGTTGCACTTGAGCCGACGACATAAGCGAAAGCGACGAAATGTTGAGGATGGTAACAAGACCGTACAAGCTGCTCAGCCTTTAAGAGTCAATGTAGAGGAATGTTGAATCAAGATTACTGTAGAATAAAGTTTTAAAATTCATGTTTTGAAATTTTATTTTAGTTTTTGATTCAGTAAGAGACAAAAACTCGTCGTAGTGAAGATACTATCATTATAATAAGTTGGTCAACTAATTCTGAGCTACTCTCAAAGCAAATTTTTTGGTTTAAAAGGCTCACAATTACTTGAACAGCCTAATATGTTACTAGTGGCTATACCAATAGGTTACTGCAGTAAAAAAAACCTTTTTTTTTCAAGTTGATGACAACATACAGTATCATGATCAAGTAATTGGCAGTGGAGAAGAAGCCCCAGCTCGATTGCTCTGATTACTACCAGAAGCTCCAACTCTATTAGCACCGTAGTAAAATACATTCATAACATAACGTCGATATGGCCCGATGACAGCTATTGTCAGTAGAGGGTTAAGTGTTGGGACTAATGAAATTATAGCCAAAAATAATCCAGCAGTCGGTCCAGTAGAAATATAAAGAAAGCCAGGTATACTGATGCCAAGAATTGGCACTACTGATGTGAAGATGGGTAGAATTGTCTGAAATTGACTGAGTAAAGGTTTGTAAAGTTACTTTGTAAAAACAAAAGTAATTATAGCTTTAACCAAAGCACAGTGGCCTAGCTTAGATTCCGCTACGAAAGATTTGACTTGCGAAAAGTGTAAGCCAGATAAAGGTGAGGCAAAAGCCGGGCTGTGACCAGGACCCAACGTTTAAAATCGGTCCGTCTTTATTCTTTTCAGGCCGTTCCAGCCCGATCAAAAAAGATCTAAATCATATTTTTAACCCGTTTTTAAAAAAATTTAAATTTTAGAAAAGTAGATGAAAATTTGGTTTTCATGAAGAATAACTCCCCAGCAGGTGAATAATAATTCCCCATGGAAATGAGCTACAATCATTCCCCACTTATTCAAATTTTAAGATTTTTTTTCAATTTCCCATTCTTTCATTTTGTTTGCTGAGTTATGGTCGGACCGCGAACTTACGAAGAAATTACTTATGAAATTGCCAAAAGTAAAAAAAACAACCGTTGTGTCCCACTCGGTATTACTATCATGCTCCACTCGAATTGCTATCATGCCCCACCTGTATTACTATCATGCCCCACCTGTATTACTATCATGCCCCACCTGTATTACTATCATGCCCCACCTGTATTACTATCATGCCCCACCTGTATTACTATCATGCCCCACCTGTATTACTATCATGCCCCACCTGTATTACTATCATGCCCCACCTGTATTACTATCATGCCCCACCTGTATTACTATCATGCCCCACCTGTATTACTATCATGCCCCACCTGTATTACTATCATGCCCCACCTGTATTACTATCATGCCCCACTTGTTTTACTATCATGCCCCACACTTAGAAAACCCTTATTCACTTTCCCATTGCACTTTGAAAGTGTATTCATTATTCAAAACTTGGTTTACACTTTCAAAGTTTATGCAAAAAATCCCTATAAAAGCAACCGATTTCCCCAGAAATCGTCATTCGAGCCGAGTTCCGAGGTTGTCTGCCGGTTCTCTCTCCAGCCCCTAGTCGCGCGATGGTTCAACAGCTCCAACACTTGGATCGTTCCCAACCCTCACCTGAGCCAATACCTTCTGGACTAGTACAAGTTAAGTTCAACTTAACTTTGTGGGGAATGATTTTGCGCTTGGGGGAATGATTGTAGCTGGGGGAATGATTGTTCATCGGTCCCGAAAATTTTGTTTTGCATAGTTTTTCAGAACATTTATTGATTGTAGTACCCAAAAAAAGCAAAAAACGTTAAAGTCCGGGACTACTTTTTAAGCTCAGCCCGCAAGCTAAGCCCATCTTTTAAGCCCAACCCGTTTCAACTTTAGCTCAAGCGGCCCGATCGTAGGACCGGATCAACACGTTCTCACTCAAGACCAATGACATCTCTTTACAGATCTTGTCACAAAACCAAAAACAATGACCTGTTGTTAAATAAACATTTTTTTAGGTAAAACATTAATTTTTCCTCCAATAAATAAAAGTAATAAAAACGTTTTGAACTTTAGCTCACCTGAAAAAAAAGTACCATAGACAACTGATGCTGCATTTCCTTCGTCTTCGTTGTAAACTTGTTACTATTAAAATTCAAATTCTTTAATGTAATGACAGCAATGAACAATATAAGGGCGTAAGAACCACCAACGGCCAAAGTTGCACCAAGGAAGTATAATTTCATCCGGAGGTCGTCCTAAAAATGGCATTTTAGACAACATACTTTAGCAAGTAGTAAGGTAAACGAAAAAATACATAATAAGGTAAACCATTATTTCTATCGTAATTCCTTTACAATTATGCAAAGTTTTTCCTACTACAATATTAGCTTGTTCAAATAATTCTGTTCCCTTTAATCCCAAAAATTTGCTTTGAACACAGGATTGTTTGAACAACCTACTATTATATAATGTAATGTTACAAATCAATAAAAATTCTCTACCAAGTCTCCGACAAGTAAAGAAGGTATCGGCTGTTCATCGTAAAAGTACTTGGCATAGTTGACTCCAGGCTTGATCAGAGCAGAGTAACGAAAGGCCTGGTAACTGTAGTAGTACATAGGAATAGTAGCTGACAAAGATATAAAGTACAAACCCAATGTTTGCTTCGTGTTTAACGGTCGCATCCTGAAAGTAAAATACAAAGTATAAGCCTTGTTTAGGTTATATATGTACATGTTCTTACTTGGTGCCTTTACTAACATCATATAAATACATTTTTTTGCGGAGGCCGTTACTAATCTTATGTACATTTTATTAGCAATTAATCATATAAATGTCTGTTTTGTAACAAGAACCCACCGTGAAACACTGTAGTAACGATAAAAGTACTGTGAAGGTAGTATGGTATGCATGAATGTAAGTTGACATACGTACCAACACATGGCATGTAACTGAACATCGTACGAAGCATACTTTGCTGGGCCTTCGAATGTTATCATGAACACTCCTTCTGTCAGTTTTGCTCTCTAAAATAATGGAATTTTGGGTTTTTAAAAAAAAAATTAAATTTTGTTTTGGCGCCGTTTTTGGCATTTCGTCAGAAAGCATTTGCTTTTTTATTTACTCACACTTGAGTTTTTAATTAAAATATTTTAGGATTTAAATAATAACTTAGCGGTTTACTTTCTTTAAAAGTTCAAATTTCCGTTTTAGCGCCATTTTTGGCATTCTGTTTCAAGTTGATATTTCAATGAATTATGAAGTAAAATTGATTTTTCTAAAGCTGAAAGTTAATTTAAAAAAACTTTTCGAGCTTAAATTTAACTTTTTACCACTGTATTATAACTTGACCACTTTTGAAACTACAAAAGTGGAATCAAGTTACAATGTAAAATAACTTCAACAATTGCGTTTATTTGTAATTGCTTCAAAATGTATTTTTTCTTACAATTTTGTGTCAGATACTTCAAACAGCCTTTGTCTATAAATTGTAACAAATTTAAAGTTTGCTATTCTTAGTAATACTTAAAACAATAACTTTGTACAACTGAACAGTAGCGAATACTGTAAATTGTGTTACAGCACAAAGCTTGTTATATTATGTTATACATGTATTATACATTTGAAGTTTGTGTCTAAATTTCAAAATTAAAACACGGTTTACATTACACTGTCATAAATATTCATATTTCAAGTTCTGCGTAAGGAAAAAATTGTAAATATTATATAAATTGCGTGTAGTCTAACAAGTAACCTCCCAGTAAGTCGAGAAAAAGTAGTTTTACTGTATGGTATATATAAATAGGAAAACAAAAGTAAAGGCGACAAACAATTATGTAACATTAGAAAAAAAACTATATTGTGGTTATAATAAAAAATAAAAAATAAAAGTTTCCAAAACATGAAAAAGTTAAAGTTTAGGTAACAAAGCATAATTTTGTTTGATTATTACTGTGAACTAGGAATGACTGACAAACAAGGTTAGACAGAAAACGGGGCATTGATGATTTCCCGCGCCCTGTGTCCTGCTACAGACTGCCCGGTACAGAGCACTTCAGTTTTGGTAGTTTTTTTTGCCCGACGGGGCAGGGCAAACTGCCCGGTGCCTAACCTAATAACAAATCATCCCATCAAAAAACATTATAAGCAAACATAAAAAAGGTACCAGCATGGCAGATATTTCAATATTTTTCATTTAAACATGATTTTTCCTGTCGATATTCAAAATAAAAATTTTGAAAAGCTGACAGGTTTGTAGAGGTTACTAAACTATCAAACCTATAACTTATAAGACAAGAGGTAGACAAAGTAAATTTGAATTTACCATCCCTCCTCTTACTATGTTACACCAAATATACTACTTAGCAATTTTTGCTAACATATCACAGTAAGAGCAAGAAATAGTAAACTTAACTACAACCTTGTTAAAATTAATTTTTCAACTCACCACCTCCACAATATTGTCGCAAATCCAGAAACCAATGTCGGATGAACAACACAAGAGTAACATTCGTTTATAGTGTTGTAGAGGACCGTTGGATTGTGTTAACACAATAAAAAGTAGAGCAAATGAAAGTAATCCCCCAGCGATGCCATTAACAAGGTACAGGTATTCGATGACTTTCTTGACAGTCGGCTGTCCAATATGATTTTCCGGTCTGAAGACACCATCGGCTTCTGGCTCATCCCAAGCGTACGGATTCTGGGCTGAAGCGTTGGGTTGGACGATAATGTTGATGGTTTGTTGGATTTCCATCTATTAGGGCGTTCAAATAATTCTGTGCTCCAGCTCAAAGCAAGTTTTTTGGGTTTATAAGCGCAGAATTATTTGAACGACAAAAGACAACAATAACTCAGCGTTTGGAATTTATTATGACAAGATACGAGCAGGGCCGGACGCGAGGGGGGGAGTACCCCCCCGCCCCCCTTTTTTTGGATCCCTGCCCCCAGACCAAAAGTCCCCGCCCGGCCCTGGATACGACTACATTTATAAAGCACAAACCAAACGACACGATATGATATTATTACACCTTCTGACCTACTACCTTCCAAAAGTGTTTCACAGTAAATACAAAACTTTTTTTAATTACTTCTTCAAAGTACGTGAACCGAAACAGCACGCAACACTGTAACACTGGTTCCGGACTACAAGTCCGTAGCACGCAATATATACTTAAACTGCAACATTAGGTAACATGTCACATTGTTTGTTGTTTTGTCAGTAAATAGATATCAACTAAAAAATCATTATAGTCAACTGACAATACTGGATTCACAACCAATGTCAAATATAATCGTTTGATATAAACAAAAGGAGAAGTAACATATCATAAAAAAGTTTAAAAATGTAAAGAGAAAATCAACTTCAACTTTTCTTCGTCTAAAAAAAACAGTTTTACCTCCCCCCTCACACTGTATATAATATAACAAACATACACTAGAAAATTGCAAATAAAAACCGTCGTTTACAATACTCTAATCATAAAATAAACAGCAGTTACCACGGTAAACCTGTAACATTTATTGTAAACGAAAAACCTATTCTTCTCATTACTATGCCACTTCAAGCCAGTACAACTACAATCGACTACAAGTAATTGTTATGTAATTTTAAACACGTTTTTTTGAACACATGGGGTTTATGACAATACTTATTGTTCAATTTTAAAATAAACTTAATTAATCTCTGTATAAAATAGTACAATCTCTAAAGCAGTGACGTATTTGCAGTTCGAGAACTTCAACCCAAGATGAAGATCAAATGAATAATGTGCTAAAAAGTAATGCCATTAATATTATCAAAGTTCAATTCAATTCCCTCTCTCAAAGCAAATTTTTATAGTTAGAGGGCACAGAATTATTTTTACAAACTAATATAAAGAAGTCTTTTGGTCATCATCAAGTTCCCCACCTCCCCTCTTCTCTTACACTTACAGTATAATAAGGTCCATCCTTGGCATACTTGAAAAAACAGCCAGTACCAAGATAGGTGAAGTGAATACCAAATCTGTTGGCAATATTGTCCAACATGAATGGGCCATAAAGATTGTCTTTGACGTTTTCTTTGAGCTTGTCCGGACCTCCTTTCAAATAATCAATGTTGCCGCAATCTAAAAACGAAATTACAGTGAGATCCAATAACATAGTGCTAAATCACAAAATTTGCTAGCGAATACTCTTATATAATCTAGTCAGTGCTCAAAGTTTAAAGCACCAAAATAAACATAGACTGAGATAAGACATTTTGAATATAGTAGTAGCCATTACCTTTGCCATGAGTTCTTCTGATCAAAGAAATGATGTGAGATGAAGCAATGTCGGTGATTTCCTTTCACAGATCCTCATCACAAAAACCTCCGGGTCTGGTTTTGCCCATAAAGTACTGTAATGTGTTGTTCTTCTTCAAGCTTTCAACAAATTGTTGACAAAAATGTTCGAACCATATACAAGAATCCCGACATTTTGAGTTGTAGCTGATCCAGATGACTGAAAAATAGATAGATTACCATCCAAAATATACTACACAATCTTTTTTTTCCTAAATCACTATCAGTTAGGCTGTAAAACACTTGTCAGTAACTAGATATCATTCTAAACCGCAAAAAACTTACAACTTCACAAGTCTCCGCCAAATTGTAAATCTTGGCCTTTTCCGTCGTAATACTATGTTCACATAAACTCTCGAGAAGCACCTTTGCCAAACGCAAGTAAGCACTACCAACAGTGTTGATAGGTATTCTAACCAACCTCACATCCATATATTAACTAACGGCATAGGAATGAAGGAAAGCTTCGGTACTCAACACAGCTGCCTTATACTCGGGCAAACTTGAATCACGTGTGGCAAGTCTTCCTTTCTTCTACGTACTTCATCAATCAATGCTGCTGTTCCGAGCAGAATTCGCTGTCCTTGTTGTTGAACATTTTCAATTTGGCTGATTTTAGGTAACAAGAACAATCTGGTGATCTAAAACAATATAAAACTGAAAGAATAGACTTACAATCTGTGACCACTTTCTTAACTAGATCTGTGTTACAGCTTTTCCTAAATATTCAATTTCGTAATTAAATTTTACTTGCAAATATATAAAGATAAAAAGAAAATATGGCGCTATCTTATCAGAATATACGTCACAAGTGCATTTGATCTACAATAACATATAAAACTGAAGTTTTAAAGGACCAGTTCGCCCATTCAAATATCACTGGCATTCCGTCGCAAAAATTCTTGGAGAAAAAATTCTTGGAAAATTCATTTCGACACCGACCCATTTTTTTTGAAAAAAATGATTCTGATTGAAATTGCCTGATTTTCGACGCTTTTTGCGACAGAATGCCAATGATATTTGCATGGGCGAACTGGTCAATGAGGAACAAAAATAAAACAATTTTAATGAGGAATTTTAGATACCGCAAAGCAAGTATAAACTTTTACTCGCCCAATGATAATGTTTTGGATAGCTAAAAAGGAAGAAACCTCATAAAGGTCAAGGTCTCGCATATTACAGATGCGATCGGAAAGAAAACTCTTTAGGGGATTCGGCGGAGACTTTAGGGGATTCGGCGGAGAGTCGGCGGAGACTTTAGGGGGTTCGGCGGAGACTTTAGGGAATTCAAAGGAGACTTTAGGGGATTCGGCGGAGAGTCGGCGGAGACTTTAGGGGACTCGGCGGAGGGTCGGCGGAGACTTTAGGGGGGGTGCGGCGGAGACTTTAGGGGGATTCGGCGGAGAGTCGGCGGAGACTTTAGGGGATTCGGCGGAGAATCGGCGGAGACTTTAGGGGGTTCGGCGGAGAGTCGGCGGAAAGTCGGCGGAGATTTTATGAATTTGGCCGAGGTTTTAGGGTATCTACCCGACCTTACCTCTAATCTTTCTAGCCTTACCTGACTCTACCCTTGACTTTTTACCCCTACTTGACCCTAAGACTGATCTTTTTAGCCTTACCCAACCTTGCCCTTGCTTCTTTTATCCTACCCAACTATACCTTACATATCCTATATAATATACCACGCAATGTCCTGCGCCATACCCACCTTAACAAACTATACCATACTCTACCATACTCGTCCTACCTACCACACCCTTATATAACGCACCATATTATACCTTACTATGTCATACTATAACTGACTATATTATACCATTTACCTTGTTCTATTTACATACTCTACCTTACTCATAGATAGTACACGGTAGTGTTGTATAGGATTGAATAAGTTAAGGCATGGCATAGTATATTATGGTATGCTATGATATGGTATTGTATGGTGTGGTATGTTTGGTAAGATGGGTATGGGCACAAGACTTCGTATGGTATATTATATAGGATGGGTATGATATAGTTAAGTAGGATAAAAGGGGCAAGGGTAAGGTTCGGTAAGGCTAAAAAGATCAGGCTTACGTTCATGTAGGGCTAAAAAGGTCAGGGTAGTGTCGACCCTCTAACCTTTCTAGTAAGGCTAGAAAGGTTAGAGGTGAGGTCAGGTAGATACCCTAAAGTCTGCGCCGACTCTCCGCCGAATCCCCTAAAGTCTCCGCCAAACCCCCTAAAGTCTCCGCCGACTCTCCGCCGAATCCCTTAAAGTCTCCGCCGAATCCCCTAAAGTCTCCACCGACTCTCCGCCGAATCCCCTAAAGTCTCCGCCGAACCCCCCTAAAGTCTCCGCCGACCCTCCGCCGAGTCCCCTAAAGTCTCCGCCGACTCTCCGCCGAATCCCCTAAAGCCTCCGCCGACTCTCCGCCGAATCCCCTAAAGTCTCCGCCGACTCTCCGCCGAACCCCCTAAAGTCTCCGCCGAACCCCCTAAAGTCTCCGCCGAACCCCCTAAAGTCTCCGCCGAATACCTTAAAGCCTTCGCCGAATCGCCTATAGTCTCCGCCGAATACCTTAAAGCCTTCGCCGAACTTCCTAAAGTCTCCGCCGAATACCTTAAAGCCTTCGCCGAATCGCCTATAGTCTCCGCCGAATACCTTAAAGCCTTCGCCGAACTTCCTAAAGTCTCCGCCGAATACCTTAAAGCCTTCGCCGAATCGCCTATAGTCTCCGCCGAATACCTTAAAGCCTTCGCCGAACTTCCTAAAGTCTCCGCCGACTCTCCGCCGAATCCCCTAAAGTCTCCGCCGACTCTCCGCCGAATCCCCTAAAGTCTCCGCCGACTCTCCGCCGAACCCCCTAAAGTCTCCGCCGAACCCCCTAAAGTCTCCGCCGAATACCTTAAAGCCTTCGCCGAATCGCCTATAGTCTCCGCCGAATACCTTAAAGCCTTCGCCGAACTTCCTAAAGTCTCCGCCGAATACCTTAAAGCCTTCGCCGAATCGCCTATAGTCTCCGCCGAATACCTTAAAGCCTTCGCCGAACTTCCTAAAGTCTCCGCCGACTCTCCGCCGAATCCCCTAAAGTCTCCGCCGAATCCCCTAAAGTCTCCACCGACTCTCCGCCGAATCCCCTAAAGTCTCCGCCGAACCCCCTAAAGTCTCCGCCGACCCTCCGCCGAGTCCCCTAAAGTCTCCGCCGACTCTCCGCCGAATCCCCTAAAGCCTCCGCCGACTCTCCGCCGAATCCCCTAAAGTCTCCGCCGACTCTCCGCCGAACCCCTAAAGTCTCCGCCGAACCCCCTAAAGTCTCCGCCGAACCCCCTAAAGTCTCCGCCGAATACCTTAAAGCCTTCGCCGAATCGCCTATAGTCTCCGCCGAATACCTTAAAGCCTTCGCCGAACTTCCTAAAGTCTCCGCCGAATACCTTAAAGCCTTCGCCGAATCGCCTATAGTCTCCGCCGAATACCTTAAAGCCTTCGCCGAACTTCCTAAAGTCTCCGCCGAATACCTTAAAGCCTTCGCCGAATCGCCTATAGTCTCCGCCGAATACCTTAAAGCCTTCGCCGAACTTCCTAAAGTCTCCGCCGACTCTCCGCCGAATCCCCTAAAGTCTCCGCCGACTCTCCGCCGAATCCCCTAAAGTCTCCGCCGACTCTCCGCCGAACCCCTAAAGTCTCCGCCGAACCCCCTAAAGTCTCCGCCGAATACCTTAAAGCCTTCGCCGAATCGCCTATAGTCTCCGCCGAATACCTTAAAGCCTTCGCCGAATCGCCTATAGTCTCCGCCGAATACCTTAAAGCCTTCGCCGAACTTCCTAAAGTCTCCGCCGACTCTCCGCCGAATCCCCTAAAGTCTCCGCCGACTCTCCGCCGAATCCCTTAAAGTCTCCGCCGAATCCCCTAAAGTCTCCACCGACTCTCCGCCGAATCCCCTAAAGTCTCCGCCGAACCCCCTAAAGTCTCCGCCGACCCTCCGCCGAGTCCCCTAAAGTCTCCGCCGACTCTCCGCCGAATCCCCTAAAGCCTCCGCCGACTCTCCGCCGAATCCCCTAAAGTCTCCGCCGACTCTCCGCCGAACCCCCCTAAAGTCTCCGCCGAACCCCCTAAAGTCTCCGCCGAATACCTTAAAGCCTTCGCCGAATCGCCTATAGTCTCCGCCGAATACCTTAAAGCCTTCGCCGAACTTCCTAAAGTCTCCGCCGAATACCTTAAAGCCTTCGCCGAATCGCCTATAGTCTCCGCCGAATACCTTAAAGCCTTCGCCGAACTTCCTAAAGTCTCCGCCGAATACCTTAAAGCCTTCGCCGAATCGCCTATAGTCTCCGCCGAATACCTTAAAGCCTTCGCCGAACTTCCTAAAGTCTCCGCCGACTCTCCGCCGAATCCCCTAAAGTCTCCGCCGACTCTCCGCCGAATCCCCCTAAAGTCTCCGCCGACTCTCCGCCGAACCCCCCTAAAGTCTCCGCCGAACCCCCTAAAGTCTCCGCCGAATACCTTAAAGCCTTCGCCGAATCGCCTATAGTCTCCGCCGAATACCTTAAAGCCTTCGCCGAATCCCCTAAAGTCTCCGCCGACTCTCCGCCGAATCCCCTAAAGTCTCCGCCGACTCTCCGCCGAACCCCCCTAAAGTCTCCGCCGAACCCCCTAAAGTCTCCGCCGAATACCTTAAAGCCTTCGCCGAACTTCCTAAAGTCTCCGCCGAATACCTTAAAGCCTTCGCCGAATCGCCTATAGTCTCCGCCGAATACCTTAAAGCCTTCGCCGAACTTCCTAAAGTCTCCGCCGACTCTCCGCCGAATCCCCTAAAGTCTCCGCCGACTCTCCGCCGAACACCTTAAAGTCTTCGCCGAATCCCTTAAAGCTTCCGCTAAATCCCCTAAAGCTTCCGCCAAGTTCAATTTAGTCAACTTTTGCCAAGATACCATGACTTACCATTGTATATATATGTAGTAAAATCATGATTTTACTTGAAAAGTCATTTACATAGTAATATGTTTCCAAAATTATGTAGAACTATTATATTTTACAAGTATTTAATATTGTTTGCCAATATACCATCATTTACTATGGTATATATATATGTTGAGGTAAATACAACTTTACTGTGGTATTTAACCCTTAGCATTGCAATTTACTACGATATTATTAGGATAATAGCCCGGACATACTATAAGGCAAATCGGCCCTGTTGGAACCGGCCCAGTTGGACGCGTAATGTTTTGGATAACGAAAAAGGAAGAAACCTTCACATAAAGGTCTCGCATATTAAAGATGCGATCGGAAAAAGTAAACAAAACACTTTATAAGTACTTTACTATCGCTTCCACAAATTTTCATGCACAAAACAATTCAAAACTTACTCATATTTACGTATTATTTATGTTTTATTAAGACAAATAATAATATTGTTTATGAAATTCAAGTGCTCTTAATGGACTAAATGCTTCTTTGAGTAGGATGAAACCTTCAGCGAGATAAAGCTTGTGCGGTGTAAAATGGTGTCCGTTTTCGTTGGCCGCAACTAGAAAACGTAACATCTTGACTTTGTATCGCTCATCATCTGACTGAAGGCCACGTCTTGTTAACACCTTAAGAACTTCCTTAAACAATCGGGAGTCGTAATTAACATTGAAAACGGTGTCTCTTGGAATGTGCTTCAAGTTTCCGGCCTGAAACTACGTATTAAACAAAAATTTTGTTATTCCATATAATCTAAGATGTAAATTTAGTTGTTAGTATATTCAACTAAAAAGATAACTTTGGAACGCAAAACTTACTCGAGTCGGTCTTTTTAGAAGTCTATATTGCGATAACCTTGCGTCCAAATCGTTTGACCGGTTTGTTAACACGTCTGGGGCCACAAACAAGTTAATGTTGTTTTTTATTACCTGTAAAAGTTAACATTTAATTATTAGCAAAAGCAAGATTAAAATTTTTTCGGTGCTTATTATAACCCAAAAAGACATCATGTTACTCAAATTTAATCTTAGTAGGTTTCAATAAAAATAGTACCGTTTTATTAACTACTGTCGCTTTTCCAGTGTTAATGCCGACTGCGTTGTCGCCGTATATTTTGTTCCCAGAAACATTCGATCTTGAAGTCCAAGTCGATTGGTCTGGTATGCTGATGTGATCAACTTCATTCAGCGATACTTCAGCGGCATGAGCTTCTTTCAATGACACTCGCTCCAGCTTCAAGGCTTCTATTTCTTCTGATAACTTCTTGGATCTGGCCTTCTCCGCCTCGAGTTCAGCCTCTAGACGCTTGAACTTGGCCTCCATTGGCTTTTCTACCTCTCTTTTCTTTGTGGTTAATGTTGGGTAGATCTCTACTGTGCTCTAAAACAAGTGAAATTTATTTATTTTTTATAAATTTGGGTAAAAATCACTCTAAAAATTTGTGAAAACTGCCATTTTACGTATTACACTTTAAGCCAACAAAACAAAACGGCAAAAACTTCTTTTCCAAAACTTTAGATAGCAAAAACCTTCTTTCCAATATAATAATACCTAAACATTATAAAACAATAATGAAAAACATACCTCTTTAGGCTTTGAAGCCTTCTTTTTCTTGTCCTTTCCCTTCTTCGATGCCTGGTGTTGGCTCTTCTTTGACTTCTGGCTTCTCTTCTTCTTTCCATTCATCACTTATGTCTGAAATTAGATAAAACAGTTAAAAAGAACATAAAAACGGGTTATTCAATGACGTTTCACGAGTTTTGACATTACTAAACATAGAACACACAAGAACGTTAAAAAAACTTGGAAAAATCACAACCATGCACTGATTTGGCCCCACATCGACCGTGAAGGAAACAAAAAACCAAACCACGTCAACAAATTTTGCAACTGTGTCAAAATTTCACGTAATGTGTCAAGTCATTTCCGCAAATCGAGCAAAAAACCGGCGAAAATGTCAGTATTTGGTTGCACGAACTTTACCTTTTCAGTTTTTATGGTGTTTTTATCTGTTAAAATTGTTGTTTAAGTTTTGATTTGCTTTAGGCTTCTGACTTTTCAATTATTTTACAATTTTTAAAATTTTTGGGCAATTCTTTCAAGGTTTAGATGTTTTTACTGATTTATAGGTAACATTTCATGGTTTTTAAGTTTTATATTTGGTTTTAAGTAAGTTTTAAATTTCAGAACATGACAATAATAGATAGAAGAGACGACCAAGGCTTTGGCCGATGAGTAGAAGGAAAAACCAATAAATGGGTCAGTCTCAAGGCTGAACTTCTTCCGTCGTCGATGCTGAAGCTCAATTCGTTCTGCTGTTCACTGAGGGAAGAGATGCTTTGTTTCATCGTAAGTTTGGTTTTTGAAAGTGTTTTTGTTTTTAGGTATTAAAATATAGAGTAAAACATGATTTTTGGACTGTTTTGTTACCTAAAATGATTAAAAACAAGTGTTTCTCAGACTTGTGGCCTCAAAAATAACTAAAACAAGCTTTTTTTGAAAGTTTTGTTACCTAAAAAAGCCCAGGTTTTGCTTTTCTTCAATATTAAAGTTTAGAATTAGCCAAAACTTGGTCCTTCTATACCTAAACCTCCTATTTTTTCAGAAAAACTCCAGCAATTGCAATTGGGCACAAAGCACGAAATCTGCACCCAAGAGCTTCGTAGTCGTCATACCACCCGAGCTGCCGGGATTCGCGAAGCGAAGAAAAGCTCCATCATGGCCACTGTTGTCAAAAATGCTCGCGATAAGCTGATCAAGAGGTTCGGCGAGAAAGTCTTGAGAAAAGTTACACTGAGCAACTGGCTCCAATTTGTGAAGCAGATGGTCAATCAGCGCTGGACTACAAAAAATGCAACAGGTATCTATTCAGACAACTATTGGTCGCTGAGCAAGAACGTATGCTGCATGATGAGTTAGAGAAGGACGAAGCGGAGCGGCTGGCTGAGATCGTGGCGAGTCATGAAGAAGAAGATGAAGGAGTTGTAGCGGATTATGCAGAAGAAGATGAAGGGGTTGTGGCGGATGATGAAGTTGGTGATGAGCAGAAGGAGTCGGGATTGGTCATTAACTTTGGCAGAGTAAAATTTTTGGAGATGTAAGATGATGAAGATGTTGAATATTCAGGTAACACTGACTGATATCTAACTGAGATTGCTTTTCATATTGTTTTATGGTCTATAATGATTTTTATTTGTAACTTTGGTTATATCTTTTTATTTTGCGATTTGATTCTTTTATTTCCCTATTTTTTTCATTTTTTACTTTTAATCTAACGTTTTCAGTTTTTCCAAATATATCAACCGTTATACTAAATTTGTTTTGTATATTATGTTATCATTTTCGTTCAATGGTTTCAAAACTTAAAGTTTATCTTTTTTATTACCTAACCAAATAACCACTGTTAAATCTTATTTTGGTCAATATTGTATAATAACCAATGTTCCTACCAGAAACGTTACCAGTTCATAATAATTTTGTTATCTTTTATAATTCGTTAACACATTTTTGTTACTTTGATATTGTTTTCTGTAACATTGAGAAGGTTTTCTTTTTTATTTTTAATAAACCTTTTTCAAAAAATTGTTCAGAATTTTGATTTATTAGCTGGATTTTACATCAGAGGTGATATTTGTGCTAGTTCTTTACACAGTAAAATACAAAACCTATAACTTTCATAGAAATGCTATAAATAACCTTTTAATGTTATAAGAAGTATATCTAAATGTAAAGAATTATATCTAAATGTAATTCATTTTTGACGCTAACTTATAACGAGTTTTTTGTGGTGCTCGATCGTATTAGGTGCCTGCAAGTTTTAGGCCAACTTTTGTTTTTACCATAATTTAATATTAAAAAAAACAACAACAACAAATTAACAAATATATGTGTCATTATTATCAACGACCTGTTGCCATCCCTTCGGCAACATTTGGATCCAACTTCTGTAGAAACCTGGAGTTTTATAATTGAAAAAGTTAGCCCATTATTGCTTGAGGTATCCTCGTTTGTCAAAGCGTGTTGCGTTCAGATGGTTTTGAAGAGAATGGAACATATTATAATCTGTAGGAGCAATATCAGTGGAGTACAATGTATGTGGCATCACAGCGCAGCCGAGGCTTTTCAGCTTGTCAAGCCATTCGAAGGTCCTTGGGGACATCAACAAGTAAGTGCAACTTTCACTTAGCGTTTCAGCTCGTCGCTGTTGAAATCATGTGGAACCTCTTGGCCATATTTCCATAATCTTCCAAGAACGTGCAGTCTAGTTAATATGGTAGAAGGATTACACTGAAGCTCTACAGGCACTTGTAACTAGTTTTTTTGTGGTACTCGATCGTATATTCATCATTTATAATATAGTAAGGAAATATTCACATTACTGTAACTCGACGAGTAACATAGCTACAATAGCAGTCGATACAGATTCTAAAAGCTCATGAAAAATGACATCTAATGTTGGTTATGCTACAATATCTTACAAAGAGTTTTTGTGTGGTACTCGATCGTATATTCATCATGTATAATATAGTAAACAAATATTTACATTACTGTAACTCGACGAATAACATAGCTACAATAGCAGTTGGTACAGATTCTGAAAGCTCATGAAAAATGACATCTAATGTTGGTTTTGCTACAATATCTTACAAAGAGTTTTTTGTGTGGTACTCGATCGTATATTCATCATGTATAATATAGTAAACAAATATTTACATTACTGTAACTCGACGAATAACATAGCTACAATAGCAGTTGGTACAGATTCTGAAAGCTCATGAAAAATGACATCTAATGTTGGTTATGCTACAATATCTTATAAAGAGTTTTTTTGTGGTACTCGATCGTATATTCATCATGTATAATATAGTAAACAAATATTTACATTACTGTAACTCGACGAATAGTGGAGCTACAATAGCAGTTGATACAGATTCTGAAAGCTCATGAAAAATGACATCTAATGTTGGTTTTGCTACAATATCTTACAAAGAGTTTTTGTGTGGTACTCGATCGTATATTCATCATGTATAATATAGTAAACAAATATTTACATTACTGTAACTCGACGAATAACATAGCTACAATAGCAGTTGGTACAGATTCTGAAAGCTCATGAAAAATGACATCTAATGTTGGTTTTGCTACAATATCTTATAAAGAGTTTTTTTGTGGTACTCGATCGTATATTCATCATGTATAATATAGTAAACAAATATTTACATTACTGTAACTCGACGAATAGTGGAGCTACAATAGCAGTTGATACAGATTCTGAAAGCTCATGAAAAATGACATTTAATGTTGGTTTTGCTACAATATCTTACAAAGAGTTTTTGTGTGGTACTCGATCGTATATTCATCATGTATAATATAGTAAGGAAATATTTACTTTACTGTAACTCGACGAATAACATAGCTACAATAGCAGTTGATACAGATTCTGAAAGCTCATGAAAAATGACATCTAATGTTGGTTTTGCTACAATATCTTACAAAGAGTTTTTGTGTGGTACTCGATCGTATATTCATCATGTATAATATAGTAAGGAAATATTTACTTTACTGTAACTCGACGAATAACATAGCTACAATAGCAGTTGACACAGATTCTGAAAGCTCATGAAAAATGACATCTAATGTTGGTTTTGCTACAATATCTTACAAAGAGTTTTTGTGTGGTACTCGATCGTATATTCATCATGTATAATATAGTAAACAAATATTTACATTACTGTAACTCGACGAATAACATAGCTACAATAGCAGTTGGTACAGATTCTGAAAGCTCATGAAAAATGACATCTAATGTTGGTTTTGCTACAATATCTTATAAAGAGTTTTTTTGTGGTACTCGATCGTATATTCATCATGTATAATATAGTAAACAAATATTTACATTACTGTAACTCGACGAATAGTGGAGCTACAATAGCAGTTGATACAGATTCTGAAAGCTCATGAAAAATGACATCTAATGTTGGTTTTGCTACAATATCTTACAAAGAGTTTTTGTGTGGTACTCGATCGTATATTCATCATGTATAATATAGTAAGGAAATATTTACTTTACTGTAACTCGACGAATAACATAGCTACAATAGCAGTTGATACAGATTCTGAAAGCTCATGAAAAATGACATCTAATGTTGGTTTTGCTACAATATCTTATAAAGAGTTTTTTTGTGGTACTCGATTGTATATTCATCATGTATAAAATAGTAAGGAAATATTTACATTACTGTAACTCGACGAATAGTGGAGCTACAATAGCAGTTGATACAGATTCTGAAAGCTCATGAAAAATGACATCTAATGTTGGTTTTGCTACAATATCTTACAAAGAGTTTTTGTGTGGTACTCGATCGTATATTCATCATGTATAATATAGTAAGGAAATATTCACATTACTGTAACTCGACGAGTAACATAGCTACAATAGCAGTCGATACAGATTCTAAAAGCTCATGAAAAATGACATCTAATGTTGGTTTTGCCGCAATATCTTATAAAGAGTTTTTTTGTGGTACTCGATCGTATATTCATCATGTATAATATAGTAAGGAAATATTTACATTACTGTAACTCGACGAATAGTGGAGCTACAATAGCAGTTGATACAGATTCTGAAAGCTCATGAAAAATGACATCTAATGTTGGTTTTGCTACAATATCTTATAAAGAGTTTTTTTGTGGTACTCGATCGTATATTCATCATGTATAATATAGTAAGGAAATAATTACATTACTGTAACTCAACGAATAACATAGCTATAGGGCCCCGCAGTGAGAGCCATGTTAATATTTGATTGTTGTTTTCTTTCCCTTTCTGTTTTACTGACGTTATTAAGACTATTTCTGTACAAAAGGCGGAAAGTCGTGGAGTTGCTGTTACAAAATAAATTCACTTGTTAAAGCTGAATTGGGTCCCACCCAATGAGGGGCGCGTTAATCAAGTTTAAAAAAAAACAAGTGAGAGAAAGAGGTTCTCGCGGCTTGGCCACTTTTTGTTTACGTTTCAGGCGTGGAGTCGCCGAACAAAGATCTTAACCGCCGATCAGAAGAGGCATGGCCAAGTTAGTCTCGACCGAAAGAGGTAGCGAAAAGACTAAATTAAGTGCGGAGGGGTCAGCGCAGGTGTGCATCCAGAATCCAGGAGACGGCGAAAGCCTACTTTTATCTAAAACAAAATCACCGCGCAACCAAGACGTTTCGGCGTGATGGGTAAGTTATAAGACCAATTAGTTGAACAGATAACAATCGGCTGGCCACTTTAGGTGTCCGGCCGGCTCATTTAAGGTAAACTGCGTGACGGAGGCCGGTACTGATTGGGGAGGGTGGCGGGAAAAGTAGGGGTATAGTACCACTGTGTGTAGGTTAAAAACCTGGCATCTTTTGAGAGCTGCCGTCTATAAGTTTGTAGAACTATGTTGTTTTCTTTTCAGAGACAATTCCCAATCGCAGAAGAATGGCGATGAAGGCCAGGATTTGGTACATTCTGGAGAGAATGGCCCTGTGGATCCTGGTTTGTTGGAGGGAGAAGAGGCTGAAAATGGTGGAGCCGTTGCGTTGGGTCAAGAGGAAGAGTTTGGTCGCCGCATGATGCCAGTCCAATTACCGGAACTACAAATCGAGGGTAAGTGGTTACAACACTTTTCGCAAATCTATCGCTGTTAAGTAACTACTGCTGTTAAACCAAAATTTGTTTTGCTTTTTTTTGAATTTTTGAATTTTGGAGGCCTAAAAGATCGCAGACGTAACTACAAATCATGTTATAGGTCGCCTTTCCAATGAGCGGTTACAACGTAACTATGTAAAACAATATGATGAACAAGTTCCACCAGTTGACAGAATTCACAGAGAACGCGCCAGATGGTCCCATGCAACCCAACGCTGTCATTACCGCTGTTGCGATGTATGGTTGAGACTGAAGAATAGAACCGAGGATCGTGTAATGAAATCTTCGGAGTACATCGAGTTGATCCTAGACCCCGACACCGATTGGACCACTTGGGGTGGCGAGGCCGTCCGCTGAATCCTCAGGAAGCTGGGCCTAGTGGATGGGCGCAAGGGCCGGCCCCGGTCGCTCCACCACAGCAACCAACCAAGCGGCCGTGGCTCGAAGCCGATAAAACCGACGACGAAGACGAAGATAAGAAAGGCGTAAAAAAGACTAGGAGTAGTAAAGGGGGGGGGGAGGGGGGTAGGAGAGACCCCCCTCTCTAAATGACTTTGACCCCCGACCCCCTAAATGTCATCTTTCTCACCATATTGTAACAAAAATTTATCAAGATGCCATAGATATGACATGATATCCTCCCTATATGAGACTTACTAACAATATGCCATAGATATTGCATGATATTCTGACCCCCAAGAAGGCACATACCCCGTGCTTACACTTAATTTTTAACGTCAAAAAAATAAAAATTATGTAAGGATTTGTCACAATTACTTTGACCCACGATCCCCTAAATGAAAATTTTTTAAAATTTAGCAATATTATTAAAATAATAATATTGGGCCCCCTCGCCACGACAAGGCATTTTACATTAGGGGGAAAAGACAGACAGACAAATAAGGTAATAATGATGGTTGTTAACCATTATTTTAACATACACTAGGTAATAACGGTAAAAAATTTATTTAAAAACAAAACAAAAACACTAAACGCATTTATACATTTTCAGTAGGATGTCACACACCGCAGCAAGACTTTGTTGCCTCTCGGCAAAGTCTTTGGAGAATGGTGAAGAATTGGTTTTTAACTTACAGTCGATGGTTGATTCCGTTGCGGTGCTTATTTCGGGAATTCTATAAGTTTCAAAACTTGAAAATTAAAAAAAAATATTTAAAAAAAATTTTAAAAATAATAAAGTAGTAGGCGACTGAAGCCGTACTCTCAACAACACTAAATGTTCCCAATCGGGAAAATAATTGAATTTCGAATTTTATTTTAAAATGTTATTAATGGTACCACGACAAAACGTTCGGCCGAAGAATCGCGCAATTCGTCTAAAAAACCGACAAAATCAAAAGAAAATCAAAACAATTGGTCAAATTATAGCTAAATTTGTAAAAATTATAAATAAAATTTTAAATTGTCAAATCAGTAGTAGGAACCCGATCGTTTCCTACGATTAACAAACTTTGGAATACTCCATATACAGTCATGATATAGCCATATTTTGGCACTGGCTTATTAAATTTTAAATGTATTGAAATATTTGACCTTTTTATTAGGTCTAAAGCATTATTGGCATAGAGTTAGCAAAAAATGTTAAATTTTTTAAAATTTTTTGTATAAAAAATTAAGTCATATAACACATAAATTAAAAAACTCGTTAGTAGCAAAAAATTTTTAATTTTGTTAGTCATAAATATTTAAGTTTTGTAGTTCCATATATGGCACAATCTCGGCGTCACTACCATCTTCGTCGAGGGTTTCTTCAGGAGGGCTTGGGTTTAGTTCTAGAATCAGTTCAATATTTTCATCCTGAGAACTTGGCTCTAACCCTGTAATAGGATTATTATTTTCTTTATTTTCGTCTTCTTGTTCTTTCTCTCGTTTTCGAAAATGTGCATACAGACGCTCAAGTGCACTATCATCTAAAGGAGAAGAACCTCCTCTTGTATCTTCTGCTTCTCCACCGTTAGGCATGTCTTTGTATATGTATATATAAAATGATAAAAATGTCAAACAAAAATTTTTTTCTGGGGAGTCTTTTATAAATTTAAGGAAACTGGTTTATGTAGTTTACTGTATCTTTGATTTTGTAATGTAATGTAATTCTTTTTGTTTTTAGAAGATTTTATGTATTTTTGTGCTTTTTCAAGTTTCTGTAGTTATTAGTGTAGCAGTTCTTGGTAGGGTTTTTTCAAAAACCTTTCTGCCCCTTCGCCACGTCACGGCGAACTGCATGAAGGGATTTGTTATTTACACAGCAAAAGGTTTAGTATATACGAAATTTTTTTTATTTTAAAATTTTTATTTTTTGGGTTTTTTAAGCAAATTATTATTTAAAAATTGTAAAATAACAGCAAATCACAGCACACAAAACATGGGACAATTGTAATATATATAACAAAACAAACAAAATTTGAAATTTTAATTGTTTTGAGTTTCTCGGAGCCGTACTCCGAGACCTTGAATAGCCGCAGCTAACCGGGCCATAACTTGGTCGACGTTAATGTACATACGCTTAGAACTATTCTCTTTGTTTCCTAAGGGGTCATCTCGGTCCTCTACTACACAAACAAGAGTATGTTTTCTTTTTCAAATTTTATAAAATTTCAATTAGCTCCACCCTTTTTTTTGGCAAATTGTAAAAATTTTCAATTTGTCCCGTCTTTTTTTGGTTGAAACTTTTCAATTTTCTTTATTTTTTTTGGCAAATTTCAAAAATTTTATTAATTTTTAATTTGCTTTACTTTTTTTATTGGGGAGGGGGGGGAGAAGGTCTAAAAATTTTTTTTGGTCCACAGGTATCAACTACCACAAAGGGACAAACGTCTAGACTGAGTTTTCGTATATTGGTATATTGCAAAACCGCCTTTGTGGTCGTCGTAATCTAAACATATGGGTCGAAATAGCAAACGGACACTGGTAGGGCAGCTTATGAATGCTGCTCTACTTAAGCGTTCAATCCTAGTGAACACAAGAAGATTTTCAGAACCGCAACAACAGTTGCGGGCTTTCGCCGGACGCCTAATTAATGACGACAAACAGTGGTGTCTTCTTCCATGTAGATTAATGACGCTTGTCTATTTGAATTTTTGAACCTAAAGTTTTATAAAAATCAGACATTGCGAACACAGTTGTGTGTTGTCGCAAAGCGTAATGAATTAGCCTTTACATTTCAATGTTTTGAATCTGACCGAGATTCGAAGGTTTAAAAAAAATTTATCAAAATAATCATACCAAATTTTATCTTTTTCAAAAAAATAACATAATAATATGTTATTAGTTATTATACTTAAAAACAGCCTAAATTAATCATCTTCCCGAAAGATGTTATCCCAAAATGACAATTAAGAAAAACCTATCGTTGAATCCGTTACCGTCATGTTCACATGTCGGCCTCTGAACGTCGTTTGATGGACCATCCATTTGGTTCTCCATGTTGTAGTCATCTGTTCTTTTGTTGTACAACCAAGCCGTGGTGATTTCTTTGTTTTTGTGACCCAATTTTGTAGAAAGTAACACCATTTCCACCACCACTTTGTGACACCTTTCTTACAAACTCACTGTCTTGATATTCTTCAAGGTCGTCGTTAGTCCCTCCCAAAAAGGTAGCCATGTCAGTAGTAATAATCCCACCATTTGCACCTTTTTTTGGGCAGGGCTTAAATTTTGTGAATCGGCCCGTTTTGGAAAAATAGGGTGCAATCCGTGTTTTTGAGGGTACATACTGAAAATTGGTACTGAAAAATGGTACTGAAAATTGATACTAAAAAAATGGTACTGAAAAAGTTGAAATTTTTTAAAAAGAGTTACATAATAAAGGTCATACTGTATAGTACTATTGTATTTTTACCCATACTGGTACTGTGAGCGCACGAGACAGTGTGCGAATTGCACCCATTCGGGACGCTCTCCTCTTTTGGGGTACTCTTTTCGCGAATAGAAAAGATCATGGCGATTGGAGAGAGGGCCCGAGCATACGAGAGAGTGTACGAATCGCACCCTCTCTGTTAGTCGGCTGACTTCTTCTTTTTATGTGATATTTCGCCGAATAGTAAATATCGCAGAGATCGAAGAGAGTCTGCGATTTTTCCGGTTTGGCAAAAAGGACATACATGCTCTCACATTTCATGATATTGAACATGGTCAAAGTAAATAGGAAATTAAATGACATATATTGTCATGTCAGTGAGATAATAAACTATCTTGCTAAAAAATTACAAAATAAATAATCTATCTGGTTTTCGATGTTCGATATTTTTCTTTGTGCTTTCAAAACAAAAGTTCAAATTCAAATTTATTTTGAATTTTGAACAATTGTGGTTTCAATTAGATTAACGAGCCTGACCGAGGCTCGATGGTATAAATAATTTATTTGTCAATGTTTACATTCAAATTTTTGAATTTGGAGCACTTGCGGCCCAAAGTTTGATTAGATTATCAGATTCAGCAAACTTGGAACGTCAATTTAACATTTTGACCCCAAACGGCGTTTTGGTTATGATCTCCACAAATAATCACATGCTGTGTCTTCGTCCTTTCAAGAATCATCATTCATACATTTTGTGCCTGCCTCCTAAATCAATACAAAATTTACATTATGTTTTGTCGTTTCGGTATTCTCGATTGAGGTAAAATACGACTCAAAATCGAAAGCAATCAACTTGTACTGTAGCGTATGCTTGGCACTTGACTTTGTACCCTTTTTGAGCTTCACATGGAAAACCAGCGCCTGTTCATGTACAAAAACCAGATTTTACCGTACATTTAGAAGTATGATGTGTCGTTCTACATTTATTGGCACAGGCATAACAGAAATCATTTCTACTGTAAACTCTTTTAAAACTTGGAAGGACTGTAGGTTACATCAAAGTGGCCACCATTCTGATAAAGCAATAATGGGTCTTGACAACGGTTGACTTTTCTCGAGGGTAGATCCAGCTTTCTTCAAAGTCTCTTTTGCTGAAGATGATGACTTTATTGTTGGAAAAATTTTTTCGACCCACGCCTCCAGACCAAAAGTGCCCGCCCCTAATCACTAATATTAAATGGCCTAAAAATATTACAATGTCAATACTTCTTTCATTTTAAAAATTTTAAAATAAAAAAATTTAAAACGGGCCGGACTTAAACTTTGAGACCCGGGCTTGAACCGAGCTTAAAAGTGGGACCGGCTCAACATCCCTAGTGTCGACAGGACTAATTGACCAGATCAGTATCCTTGCCCAAAATTGGGATTAAAGTAATTGGAATTCATATGGACGATATTAAAGGTCAATTCAATAGCATTGAGTCTAACAAAACTTCAAAAAGTTGGTAACAATTTCTACCACTGTTACTACCTCTGGTAT